TTCTGAAGAAGCTTGATCGACGTATCATTCCTTGTGTCTGCTGGATCTACCTCATGAACTTTATGGATCGAGGTGAGTTTGATCTGAAGCATTCAGCCCTATCGATGTTGACAATTCGATACAGTTAGTATCGGCAATGCTCGTCTCTACGGTCTCGAGGAGGAGCTTGGTCTCACAAGAGATCAATTCCAAATCTGCGTGTCGATTCTTTTCGTCACCTATTGTGTAAGTCGAAGCAACGCGATATCCATCCCATGACACAGTCAACTGACTTGCTGTTAGCTGTTTGAAACTCCCTCCAACCTTATCATCAAGAAGCTTCAGCCTGCACGATACATTGCCGGTCTCGTTTTCTTCTGGGGTATTGTGGCTATTTGCACTGGCTTCGTCAACAACTTTGGCTCAATGGTCGCTTGCCGTCTGCTGCTCGGTTTCTTTGAGGCTGGTCTCTTCCCCGGCATCATGTGAGTACTAGCTTTCTCTATTTTGTGACATGTCTCTGACCTTGGTAATCTCTAGGCTGTATCTAACCACCTTCTATCACAAGAAGCACATCTCACTTCGCAATGCCTACTTCTATTCCATCTCTGCTATCTCTGGGGCCGTCGGTGGTCTAGTTGCCCTTGGTATCGGTGAGCTTGACAACTGGGATGGCGAAGGAGAGGGCGCTGCTGGATGGCGAGCCTGGCGATGGATCCTCACCATCAACGGTATCCCCACCGTCCTGACCGCTGTATTCATCCCTTGGATCCTGCCAAACACTCCCGCAACCGCAAAGTTCCTCACTGAGGAGGACCGTCAGAACCTTTTGGACCTGCGAGCAGCGGAGATTGGTCAAACAACATCTGGTCAAGAGATGCACAAGGAAGACGTCATCGCTGGAGCCAAGGACTGGACCATCTGGGCCCTCTCCATTGCTCAGTACTGCAGTCACTCTGTCCTGTACAGCTTCAGTGTCTTCTTGCCAACCATCATCAAGCAGATGGGTCAATGGACTGATAAGCAAGTCCAAGGTCTTACAGTCCCTGTCTACGCTGTAGGCTTCATCACCTATCTGGTTTGTGCCAACATCAGCGACCGAACCCAACAGCGAGGACTCTTCTGTATCGGAGGAGGTCTGACTATGATTATCGGCTACATTCTTCTGATTGCAAACCAAAGCACTGCCATGAGCTACGCTGGATGCTTCATTGTGGCTATTGGTCTCTGGACCGGCTCTGGATCTGGCATGGCTTGGATCACTGTCAATCAGCCGCGATATGGCAAGCGTGCCTTCGCTAGTGGTATCTTCATCACCATTGGAAACTCAGCTGGTGTTGCCGCCCCTTTCCTGTTCAGCAACGATTACGAGCCCCATTATCGCCCCGGCTACGGTGCCTCTATTGGCATGCTTGCCCTTGCTGTCTGCATCCATACTGCTGTCTATCTCCACTTCAAGCGTCTCAACAAGAGAAAGCTTTCTGGTCAAGAGGACTGGCGCATGGAGGGCAAGACTGAGGAGGAGATTGCTGAGCTCGGCGAGCACAACCCGCGATACCTGTATACTCTCTAGAGACTTCGATCTGCTTTCTCTCTTGGAACTAACTTGACGAGAACTGAGTTAACGTTTTTCATATTGTGGATAAGATTTATTGGATAAAATCTAGATAGATATTCAATCTAAATTGAAAAGTTTTGTCCAGCCTCTGGCTCCTATGCTCTCCGGTTCCACCGCATCGTATGCAATACATAGTGCCGTGGAATGATGTCTTCGGAACTAATACTTTTGTATTCAAACGAAGAGGCAAGCTTATAGTTCTCTGGAGAAAGTCTAGGTGAGAATCCTAACTTTGTGCCAGCTCATCCGACCAATCTCGTACATACTCATCCAAAGACTTGACCAAGATTGAGAACTAGCAAATAAGCCATTTAGGGTGATATCAATAGTTTTATAGATTGATTGACGTTCCAATGTTGACTCATAGCTACCCTTTAGAGGCAAACTATGGTTTTTCGAAAGCGTCCCTTTCTGCCACCATACATTTTCAACGCCTTAGTTTCGCAACGTGACTACATTCGATATCTGAGTGATTGTAAACAATCCTTCGGTGTTAAATTTTGCTCCAGGTCGTATATCACGTCAAGCATTTATCGCCATCTCTTCTAGCATCTAGTAGGTTCTTTTTTTGGCAACGATACACCCTATGATGCAATGAAGCTTAAGCCATGTCTTGGGAATTTTCTTGGTGGTTGCAATTTACATCAATCGCAAGGCCTGATGCATCGCCATGCTTGGAAGATGTCGTGGCTTGAGGTATGATGAAAGCGGCGTAAATAAGCGTGGGAACGATCAAAAGCCAAGACCTGAAGGGGGTTGCGGGGAATCGCCCTCGGGGGGCAAGAAAACAGCGAACCTTACTGTAGGGTGTCAAAATAGATTTAGCAAAGGTCATCCTAAGCTTAATAAATATACCCTAAACTTAATAAAGATATCCTAAGTTTATACTAAATTAAACAAGTATTTTTGTCATTTAGGATCGAGGCCCTGTGTTTTCTTTCCTCACCTAGATCGCCTACGAATTGAGATTGGGGAAACTCTGAGTGCGAGATGGAGAAGAGGTCGAATGCGGAGAAACAAGGCTGGCCTGGATTCAGCATAGTCGCAAGCTATTAATATATTTAAGGATATATCAGCTGATGTCGAAATTTCCTGAAGCTGGGATGATGAGTGGGGAGTTTGATGCTATACTCAAGAGAGCGTAGTATAAGTGCAGAGTTGTCAGACTGAGCTGCCAATTGAGTATCGAGCTGCTTGACTGGATGAGCATGGTCTGGGTTTTGAGGCTGATAAAGTTCAATGTCACTTGAAAAGTGATACTTGCTTGCATGACGTTTTATCAGCGTCTAGATAAGAACCAAGAGAAAGTAGAAAGTAAAGACACGGTACAGCCGGGAACGCTGGATCCACGGCAGATGAACGCTACTGCTCGACCACGACAATAGGCCTTTAGATTATTGGAAAACTCTCCAAGGCTTGAGCAATGCACACAATGCTAAGGTTAAGGCGGTGTTGCGATTATCTCGAGGCCCTCCGGTATCAACCCGCTAAAACTGTAACTATGTTGTATCGGCTGAGGTTTTCAATGCAAGGATATTGCTTTTTGTGACGACTCAAGATCCCTGTTGCAAGGCATGAAGTCCACTGTTCGCCCGCCGCGGGGTCCGCCTTTACCGCACAGAGCAAATGCTGAGGGAGCATAAAACAGAGGCAAGAAGTCAAAGTCGCAAGAATTAATGCTATGAATGGTTATGATGATCCAGAAGAAATGTTGAGTAATCCTTTCGTGCCTGTAGTCATAAACCCGCTCCGGGTGTTTCAATCTTGCCGACCGAGGTAGATTACAAAATGTTGAAACTTAGCGCGCAGCACCAGCACAAATCAGGCACTACGCCCGCGGATAGGGCTCCAAAACATGCCAAACTCTGAGCGGACTTGCGGACAATCAAGTCACACTAGGGCCATATTGCATCAGCAGCCGTGCGGGGGCTATGCGGTGAATCCTTCAACAGCGAGGTATATAAATGCGCCAAGTATCCACACGATATAATCAGTTCTAGTTACTCTCATCATCTATACAGCATCTGACGATATGGCCCCTCTCGATAACCCCGCTATCCCCAAAGGCTCTCTAGTCCTAGTGACTGGAGTTAACGGCCTTCTTGGCTCTCATGTCGCCAAACAATTCCTCGAGTATGGCTACAAGGTCCGCGGTACTGTTCGTGATGTCGAAAAGAATTCGTGGCTCACAGCTGCGTTTGATAAACAATATGGCCCAGGAAACTTCGAGCTTGTTGCGGTCGCAGACTTGACAGATGACAAGGCTTTGACTGAGGCCGCCAAGGGTAGGAATCAGTTCTCCAAGTTGACAAAGTTACACGCGACTAATGCAATAACTACAGGGACCGCTGTCATTGCGCATACCGCATCAATTATGACCATGGACGCTGATCCTAATAATGTTATCCCTGCTGTCATTAACTTCGCTGTCGCGGCAATCAAGGCCGCTTACGCAGCGTCCAGCGTGAAGCGATTCGTCTTCACCTCATCATCTTCCGCTGCCGTCGTCTCTCAGCGCGATGTTCCCGGTGTCAAGGTCACTGAGGAGAGCTGGTCTGAGGGTGCGATCAAGAAGGCGTGGGCTGATCCTCCTTACACGCCCGACCGACGTGGTGCTGTGTATGCGGCAAGCAAAGCACAGGCGGAACAGGCTATCTGGAAGTATCACAAGGAACACCATAGCGAGAAGCCTGAATTGGTCGTCAACACGGGTAAGATGTCTAAAAAAAACGCAAATTGCGACCACTGGCTGACTCATGATAGTCCTTCCCAACTTCAACTGGGGTCCCTCGATCGATCCTGCGAATCAGGGATTTCCTAGTAGCTCTGGCCTCCCGGTGCTTCTCTTCAAAGGACAAGTAACACCATTCCACGGCTTTATCGTCCCTCGTAGGTCTCGAGCATCCCCTGAAAATTATCACGTACTTATATGGGCATAGAATACTACATTGATGTCGAGGACACAGGCCGACTTCATGTTGCAGCTGCTGTCTTCGATCATGTCAAAGAACAGCGTATTTTTGGCTTCGCCGGTCGCTTCAGCTGGGACGCTATCCTCGATATCCTCAGAAAGAACTTTCCCAACAGGACATTCCCTGAGAACTTCTCAGGTGGAGAGGACCCCAATGAGATCGAGCCAAGAGACAAGGCTGAGCAGCTTCTTAAGGATCTGGGCCGACCTGGTTGGACAAGCTTGGAGGAGTCTATTCTATCTAATGTTGAAGCGGTTGCAAAGACTGAAGAGGATCCTAAGATTTAGTACTTTCCAGGAGCTAAGGAAAGACACAAATAAATAGCTATCACCAATCACGACATTTCTCTTATGAATCACTCAAACGTTGTCAATCTGGTTAAACATATGATACAAAGTGCCTCCGTTAAATATAAGATAGTAAACGGCTGATCAGACTTGGGTGTTAACACGTTCTTCGAATTCCTCTGAATCATCGTCCGCGAGTTCAGTAACAGCTGCCTGGGGACAGCGGGCCTTGAGTTCAATGCCAATTTCAGCAACCCGCTACAGAAAGTCAGTTCATTCACACGATATCATCAGCATCATGATACATACCTTCGTAACCAACTGCTCAGCTCCTTCTGACAACTCCAGTCGTTTGGCACTGATTTGAAGCTCCATTTCTCCATAAGCCTCATCGGACAAGTTGAGAGTGGACAATGTCCCCACCCAGTCGATGGCAGGAAGTATGAACTTATCTGAAAGCTCGGTGTATAGTCCAGTTGCCCTGGATGCGATAGAAAGTCTCTCTTTCATGAGAGAAACATCTCGAAGATAATCCTGATCGAGTAAGCAAAGCAACCAACTTCATCATAGCCCAACGCTTACTTTCTTTAACTGTGGGTCGTCATTCATGTCGTCAATGTCTTTCGCCGTAAGGTCCTTTATCAAGACACGGTCATCGCCGTCTTTAACCTCAGCCACAATATCCTGTATACTAATCAAGAAATCCATAAATTTTGAGATCTCCCGTTGGAGTTTATCAAGATCCTCTAAAGTGATTTTTAGAATGTCAATCATTTTTGTCTAAAAAAGAATTAGTTGCAACTTGGAACAGCTAATATGGAGATGGCTTGCCAAAGACTCGTTCTCACTCCGGCTCTCGACCAGTACTGTGTTAAGAGTACTTATTTGCTGCTTCAGTCTTCTGATCGTCGTCCCCAGCCACCACTGTGAACCGAGTCGCACAATAGACCCCAGAGGGGAATCAGAGATTGTGGACGCTATGACCGACGCAAGAACAAAGGGGCTAGCTCGCCCAGAGACTGTGGATAGAGTCAGATGTCAAGTGTATGCTTCTGCAAATGCCTTATAAATATTCACCGTTCGTTGTGAAGGGTTCTTCAAAAGGAATCTGGAATGCTTCCTTTGATTCCATCAAGGCTACAAGATCAATTTCGAAAGTGTCTAGTTCACTTTCGGTGAACTTAATCTCGCTTTCTGTTTCTCGCTGAAGAATTCGGTTTTGGCCGAGTTTGAGTCAGTCGCATCCTGAGATGCCTACAACACAGGGCAGATACTCACAAGTCTTATTTTTTAGACAGTCTAATAAGTTATTTGTTGTTCTCCTCCATTCCGAGAACTCATCTTTCACAGCGGAGATTTCTGAGACAGATTGGCCTATTTTAGACAGCCCTGACTTCATATGAGACTGCAAACGCAAATCTCTCATTCTGCACGGCTTCATATTGATATGTTTCGTGACCGAATCAAGCTAACGTGATTATAATAAGTATCAGTCAGAGAGCAAGACTCAAGAGGAATTCACTCACTGTGCCGTCAAGCTTCCACATGTCATGGGTAAGGCGGCCCACTGCCTTCATGCGTGTTGCGGTTGATCTGAACGTTGACTCGCCCATACGACAGAAACGCCCCATCACAACTAGAAGTGGCTCTTGTCTGGCGATTTGTTAGTGACATTATGTAAAACACATTTATTGTAGTAAGTACTCAGGTCCATTGGGTGACACCTCAAGGCCTTCCATTGAGGCTTTGGACAAAAGAAGCTTACACTTAGCCATGAGTGTAATGCATTGAGGTGCTTCTTGTATTTGTTTTCCCCACAGTTGAGGTTGAGCTTGACTGTGGACGTCATCATGGGTAGATCGAAGTTCAAGTTCGGTCATGATTTAAGATATTTCCGTGAATGAGAAGTTTAGTTGTGAAGAATGGGCAATAATTGTGAAGGGGAATGAAGACGATTAAATAGTTCGAAAGATTCGTTGACAAAGTCCGACCGGATTATCTAATGGTCAAATCCGGGGCTGTATAGGACACAGCAATGCATTCACGAAGGGCCAGTTGGCAGAACCAGGGGCCCAGAATAAGCATGTTTCTTTAGCAATACGAGAACAATGTTGGAGGCTCAAAAGCACCACACAAGCCGCCGATCGACCCACTAAGTGAATGGCTATGGTGATGCTTCCTATGGTGGCTGCTTACGTCGCCAATCGCTTTTGCTACACTGCTTATCCCGGCGGAATGTGACCCGGAGTGGCCTATCAGCAAAGGATAGGCAGTGCCACTAAATGCATGGAAATATAGACAGGCCAATAACCCAAGACCGGCGTGACAGTTTCTATGCACATGACTTGGTCGGACAATAGATGGGCATCAGTGCATGATGCAAGGCAATTTAGACAGACCAATGATGATTTATCTGGTTCAATCGCATAATGTTTCAATATCTATGAGTCCGTTGCCAATCTTTCACTCTCAGACTTTTTTATTCACCTCAGATGAGGAGAAGTTCTAAGAAGCACATGTTCAACGCTCCATCATGGAACCAGCAAGCCCAACACCATTGAACGAAGACAGAGACACAAAGCAAACCACTCAAGGGCCGAGTCCTGAAGAGTGGCAAGACAAGAGGGATACCATTCATGAGATCTACATCAAACAAGGAAAGCCTTTGAAAGTCCTTATATGTAAGATGAAGAGTCGCTATGGATTTGATGCAACGTCAGTACCATGACCGAAAACCAAGAAGTTTAATGACCAAAGCAATCCAGCGCGAAAATGTACACGACCCATTTCAAGAAGTGGGGATCGAGTTTCTACAAGAACAGGAGGGAGAATGATGCGGAAACTGCTCGTTCTACAATCAATGTTCACCGAACGCGACCCAGACGCCTTGTAGATCACATCCCATCCCGATCTGGCTTGCCTCGTCTTGAGCCACATCCATCTGCGGATGCACATTTTTCCGATGGAGTCACAAAGCAACGATCCATCATGAGCTTTGCAGAGGTCTTTGTATATGGCTTGTTTGACACCTTTAACTTTTCTTCAAACTTGTTCGATATCATCGTCCCTCCAGGAGCCCCTGATCACTCGCCAGTCTGGCAGCAGATAAGCGATGAGTGCTTTGGGGTTACGACTCTCCTAGAGGAAGGGAAATACGCAGAGAGCCGGGAAACCTTCGACATCTTGTGTGAAAGATTAAAGGATGTATTTGGAAGCAATGATTATGGAATGATCATAGTATTATGGCCGATTTGTATCAGATTCCACCAGGCTGGACAGACCCACAATAACTTTGCCCTCCTTGAGTACCTCTTAGATCTACTTCGCTTCCTGGCACATCAACGCTATCCCAGTGGACATCCAATTCCAAGTTTGCTGAAGGTCTTACGCCAGACACCGGCCGAAGAACGCTTGGAGATCCTGCGAGTTGGCTACCTACGAACTGTTCGCTCTCTCGAAAACCGCGTTGGGTTTGGCAATGCCGTTGTGCTTTCAATGTGGGCTAAGTATCTCAAGAGATTCAATGGCCAAGAGTTGCCTGCAAGTGCACTCACTTCTCGTTATGAGAATGTACTGCTGGCGGCTGAGAACTCTTTCACAAAGAAAGGGACCAGAGCCATTGAGATTCTCCATGGTTACATCTACGCCGCGTACTACAATGCTAACAACCAGATGTTGACCTGGGATCTTGCTTCTAAAATGGTTGAACAAGCATCGTTAATTGGGCTTGAAAACCCTCAATGGTGTTTAGCTACTCAAGGCTATGCAATGGCCGCAAAGCTTTTATATACCGTGTCGGAGCAGACTGGTCATGGCAAGGAAGGAGAACTGATATTGTGGACTGCCATAACCAGGCTTGCTTCTGGGGATAGAGAATGTCAGACAAGAGCTCTCATGATGGCAAATATGCTGGGGGTTGCAATAAACTCATGACCATAGCAAATTGAATCAAACTCGGATTTTATATCTAGAGGGAAGGGAGCGAAAACATATTATCGGATAAATGGCAAAAAATGTAAAAAGAGTGACCTGCGTACCGCAGGTGGCTGGATCTCTCCCGCCGGGAATTGAACCCGGGTCTCAAGCGTGACAAGCTTGCATACTGACCACTATACTACGGAAGATAACAGGCTAGAGCCTGCTGTAGTGGGTTGTGGTAGGAACTGACGGCTTAGCGTATATGGATGTAGGCATAGCTTGACGCTAAGCTCCTATGGCTCAGTTCACTGAATGAGCTCAACTTATATTAAATGAAACGTCTCGACAGCCACCTCGCCATCCTCAACTTTCCTCTTGATATACATATCCGTGATTCCATAAGCCATGCAAGGTCCAACATATTCATAATCATCTCCCTGCTTCCGTAGTAGAACAAGGTCTTCATACCCATCCACAATGCAAATGACATCTCCAACCCTACAGTCCTGTGGCCCCATTCCCAAATATCCAGCATCCGTCTCGAACAATTTAGTATGATAGTTTCGCTTCATCATAAAAACCTGTTGAACATCGACGTCAAACATTCTCGCTTTCAGTTCATCAGGCCCGCCTAAAAACGGCGAGATGCACCCCATCATTTCGGGGTTGTTTCCTCCATCTTGAACTATCATGACGGAGAGTCCGTCAACCTCAGGTGTCTGGAAGTATTTTGTCGCACCTCGTGGTCGGCCGCTTTCCGGAATTTGGAGGTCTAGTCGCTGTGTGAAGTTAAGCAACAGCAACATGCTCGGTGTATCCAGTGCCAGTTTCTGCATCCTCGCGACCACTAGGAATAGTGCCCAAATTGAAGGTATCTTGGTTGGATAAAATGGAATACGAGTGATATATTCTTGTACCCAATCAGCAAGACTACCTCCCTTCTGTAGGTTCTGGATCTCTGGGTTTCCTCCGACCCTCTTCAACGTCTGCAATCTCGCGCCGGATACGTGTAACTTGGCATCCGAAATACTTGGCCACAGAATCTCAGGGGTGAGACGAGCAAGGTTGAACTCTCCATCAAATATTAATGTCGGGTTATCAGTTGCTCTTGAAGGAAACTGCGGTGCCCATGATGGCAACCCAAGAGGATCCTGGAAAACACCAGAGCCAGCGTCTCGCAGAAATTGCAGTTCTCTCCTGTCGCTCCTCCCTATTATGTCGAGTACTGCCTTGCAGTAGTCTACGTACACATCTCTGACGCTCTTGGTGTAGTCAGGGCTGAGGGGTAATGAGCTGAGGCCTAGGAGGCCATAGATATGATCTTTCGGATCCGTAGCTTCAAGTGTGCCACCAAAGACCGAAAGCTGAACCGTCTTCCTTTGTTGCTCTTCTCGGCTCTCTGTAAGGATTTCCTTGTACATAGTCTTGGCAATTTCAAAGCGGAAAATGTTTCGTAGCTGGATAAAGCCGGTGCCCTTAGGTGGACAGAACTTCATCCAAATATGGCTTGGGACAAAGCTTGGTTTTGTAGCCTGTTTCTGAGTCAACTCGAGCGAAAGGATCTCGAACATGCGGCACACGTTCATGAGAGAGCTGTACTCGATGCAGACTCGGGGAGCAATATAGAACAATGTCGAGGCCAGGACGTTTTCCTGCAAGATCCAGACGCGCCGCCAATAGGGAAGTAGGGCGAGATCATCAAGTGACAACCAGAATTTGTCACATTCGGGTTCTTTTGTAAGGCCGCAAGATCTCAGCCACTTCAGATCCATCAGGTTATCAACATCCCACTTTGCAGCCCTAAAAGCTCTGTTCAAGACCACAATAGTTGTGACAGCTGTCAATATCTTATCACTTTGTTCCGAACCTAGCCATCCAAGTACAAGATCAGCTGATGAGTAGATGTCGCCCATCAGCTTGACTTGCTCAGTCCGTTCCGCGGTATCGGCTTGGTTGATACAAACAGCGTCGACCCAGATTCTGAATTTAGATTGATCTCTATCGGGAAATTCGTATCTCCAATATCCTCGAACTTCCTTCAAGGCGTGGGCGAGACTTGTTGAAACGGGAACTTCAACGCCGTCAATGTTGATGTTGACCCTGTCAGCTGCACTCCCCCATACGTAGGATAGAGCCGCAAAGCGCAGTTGTTTGCTAAAAGTGACTGTGTGCAATTTACAAGAGATGACATCTCTGTCTTCAACTATCTCCAGTAGCCTTATCTCGGGGTTTGAGGTGTCGAGCGGGGTTTCATACAGGTCTTGAGTAGACATGTTGGCGAAGATGAAGGGAAGCACTAGATAAAGGGACCAGCATCAAATCAGTACATTCATGCCCGTTATTTTAAGTTTAGGTTATGTGAAAAGAAATCGTAGGCAAGAGGAGCCTTACTGGAAATTTGGAGATCAAAATACAAAGGCTGTGTGATGAGGCTGTGAATGCGCCTGACAAAATGCCTTCTGGCGCTTAGCACTATTAGGAACGCCTTACAACCAATGAAACGACCTTGAAAATTTGGGAGCTGCATGATGCTCAATCGGAGGGCATTTTCTGAGACATTCTTTCAAAAATTATTTATTCAGAAAAGATCGCACATCAGTGCGCCAAAAATGAGTAGAGTCAGTTTCGCCTTGCAGGGTATCCTTTTTCCACTTTTTCCACTTTTTCCAAACAGTAAAACGCAGTCTAAGAGCTATGAAAGTCGGGTAGAGCGCTGAACAACGAATAGTCATAACAAACAGGATCCAGAAAGAGAGGATCAAATCTTGGCAACCCCGAGTCTGCGTTCCCGCGCGCGGGCGATACTAATGTGAGATCACCTCCTTGATCAGATGTTGTTGGCATTGAAGAAGATGAGTTGGGTATTGTCTGCGATAATGGCAGTGCATTCATCCTATCCATGGCGTCGGCGATGAGTTCTGAAGCGCAACAGCGAAGACGGTCGTATTCCGCTTCTGCCATGCGCCACATGCGCCGGGCGCTCTTGAGGCATCCGAGAACAAGGGTGACGCGATTGTAGTGGTGCTCAAAGCATTCGTCGGGATGGCCTTGGGAAGTTGCAATTTGGATGAAGCCGCATAGGGCCAGCGCGGGAATGACGAACGGGGTATGTTTTGGTACATTAGGACAGAGCGATATGCAATCTGATATCCTTCTTGAAGCGTCGGTTGCTTTGATACCTTGAATAAGACTCGTTGATGATGAAAGAGGATGGTTCTGGCCAAAAGGCAGGAAGGGATCCTTGATATCTGCTAGCAGCGGGTACAAGTTGCTTCGCGGGAGGTGTAATAGCATGCTGGCCAAGGCGATGATCATATGTGCCTGAAACATCATCTCATCGATGTTACCATACGAGTCAACAATCTCCAACTTTCCGGAGGGCAAGTGGTTTGACCAACTTAGAAGAGCATTTTCGATGGACTGCGTATGATCGTGACTTGTGTTCTTCAACTGATTCAGCAGTAATACACGCCCTAGAATCGTCGCAGCTTCAATGCGATAGCTGAATGAGGAGAAAGCAACATCGCCAGTTGAGAGAACCCGCCTCTTGAACTCAAGAACATGATGTGATGGGGGAATGTCTAGTCGGCCATTATAAAATGCTTCTTCGCATGGTAACAGAACCTTCGGTGGGGTACTGCTGCATCGGAGAATCATGGTCTTGGGAGGGATCGCCATGGAGATGTCGGTAACGTAAATCTCCCACCAAGTCCTTCTCAAACTCTCGGCCTCAATAGGATTGTCGAGTTGTCTTGATGATGCAAAGTCTTCGAGATGCATGCCCAAGTCCATGGCCATTTGTGTGCATTGACCAAACGTTCTGTTCGCGGTATCGAGATCGCGACTGAAGAACAAAAGGATAGAGTAGATCAGAAGCGACTGAACCATATATGTTGAGGTTTCAATGGCGGACATCATATCAGTCGCGACTTCAGCGCGTAGTTGCGCGTCTGGCCCAGATGAAGCATAATGAGATCCTGCAAACTCAACCATGCGCCGCAAATACGGGGGATAGTTCCGTGAAGTGAACACAGAACTTGGAACGAGGAAGGGATGGGCATTGTGAAAGTTCTCGTAGTACAGTCGAAGGAGGCGGTCTCCATCTGAACAAGGCTGCACGGGAGTATTGAGGCTTCCCAAACTGTTGCTGCCAAAGGTTTGTGTAATGATGTTAGGGTCAAGATGGGTTAGATATGACATAACATTGTCGTTTTGGGGTTGAGGTTGTTGAGCAGGGGTTTGATCGTTGCTAATCCGTCGTTGGGCCTGCACATTTTCGCCTCGTGGTGATTGTCGGGTGACAGCTCCAACCAAGTCATTGCTGGCAGCTGCATTCTGGCTTATTCCAGATGACGGTAATTCCTGGGAAGACGACGTCGGAGTAATTGGTAAGCTGATGGGATTAACCGTTACGCAATCCACATATGAAGATTGCTGGTCGCCTCGAGAAGCTTGCATCCCGGGCTGTCTACTCCTCTGCTGAAGTTCCTCAGCTGGGGAACGATGCTTCTTGCGACGTCCACCCCGTCGCGATGGTTCGTAATAGCATACTTGCTCTGTCTCTTTGCAACGCGAACACGAGGGTTTCCCCGCATCGCACTTGAGGTGCTGCTTTCTGCAGACGACGCAAGCCAGACTTGCTATGCCGGTCGATTTGACTGACCCGTTTGTTGAGATTGCCATGATGATCTGCGGTGAGTCGGTAAGGATGGGATATCAGAAGGAGGTGGATTCTGGTGAGTCGGCGATTGAACGATATGCAGCGTTTGATCAGGACAGATTGCGCAATCACGGCGTGAGCCTCATGGAGGATCGTTGGATTACCCCAAGCATATGATCCTATCTTCAGCGGTAAAAAATGAGATTGGGTCGTAAAATGATTGAATGAACGAATGTGCATATGTATCATACTATCTCAACAGCAGAAGCAAACACGAAGTTGAGGAATGTTGAGTGGAGACAAGATGATCTGACCCGAGTTTGTGAGTGGTCAATGCGCTGATAAGCTGATATGAGGCCACGTCTTGGCCAGTCGATAACAACCGATAAGCCGAAGATATCCACATGATCTACAATCTCCAAGCCGAGAGTCCCATTGTACGGAGTACGTTTATTGTTCTCTTTCTCATTCATCATTTACATTGTTCTCATAGACAAGTCAATCTCATCAGAGTTTTACTCTTGGACGTTGTATACTAAACGGACGTAGTACATCTACTGCCTTGAATCTTGTATTGGCATGGCTCAACGGGCGGTTAGAATGTTTCTAATTTCGTGCAGGGCCTTCAATCGCCGAACAAGATACCAAACGGACATTTCCGTTATCTGCCGTCTCGATCATGAGCCAATCAATGCAACGCTTGAATCCCCGAACGTACCGGCACACAATAAATCCTTGACTGACGGCTCGGCGATTGAAGATGCGGCTCTATTATAGATAGCACCTTGATAACACTGTCGAAACTGGCCTGCGATTAAACAGTTCACCCTATTTCAGTACTCTCAAATTGCAAAGCTTACAGATTATTAACGCATTTATTCATTTCGCACGACTGTTAAAACTTTGTCACAATGGCTGCGGTATCAACACGATTTGCCCCTCTGCCACTGACACCGTGTCAATCATCCCACAAAGCCTTCACTTCCTACACCGGCTTCGAAGAGCCCGAAACTTACTCTCTGGATGACTTCGTTCGCGACGTCAAAGCTCACTTAGGAGAGGAGGGCGGCATTGGCTGCGATGACATCGACGAGGACTACCTCATTTCCCTGGCCAAGAAATACACATCAAACCCTAACGACTGGGCACGGTATTATCACAACTGTCCAGAGAAGAGTTACACACGTAATGCAATTGTAAACATCAATCAAAAAGCCAATATCGTGAGTATCTTCAATCGTTGACCGTTTGCCATACTAACTCCCTGAAAGCTCTTATTAGTCTGGAACCCAGGAAAGGGATCTCCAATTCACGACCACGCCAATGCCCACTGTATTCTAAAGGTCCTGGCGGGCGAGTTGACGGAAACTATTTACAACATGCCCGAGAAGGGTTGCGAAGAACGTCCTCTGTCAATCAAGAGCGCCAACACCCACCAAGCCGATCAAGTCACATACATCTCAGACGACATTGGCCTTCACCGAGTGCATAACCCTCACCCTACCCAAGTGGCCGTTTCTTTGCACAGTAAGTTCTAAAGCTCTTACGAGTTTTCATTGAATTGCCAACTGACATGTATTAGTATACACTCCGCCAAATGCTGCTGATATCGGTTATAATGTCTTCGACGAGTCAACGGGTCGAGCAAGCTTCATGGCAAAAGCCGAAGCTCGCTAATTTATATCTGGAAGAGTTTGAGATAGTCTTGCATACATTGATACCCTGCCATAAACAATACAAAGAATAGACATTGGTTCAATTTCGCGACCGTATAAATTTATGTGAAGAACAACACAGATAGTATTTGACCTAGTGACATTTGGGACCGGACGCTGGCAAGGAAGCAGCTCGTGACAGGTGTGTCCCTCACATGGGTACACCGTTAAGAATCACTTTGAATAGAAGTGAGTTCTTTATCTCATCAGCGCGAGCTTTCAGCTCATCGACATCCCAATTCACCCAGACAAATTTACCCTTCAGAAACTCCGCTTCTGGTGACGCGAGCCAAACATAGAATTGAGCCGCAAGCGCAGCTGCATATAGACCGTCAGCTAGTAATCCACAAAGATTTGAGGTAACTTACGATCATCCTGCCCGACAACATCAAACCTCTCATTAAGCTCAGTGCGAATGACGCCAGGCTGAATCTGGACAACGTGCCACTCAGGCTTGTCGTCCTGCAAGTACTCGAACATCTTGAAGACAGCGGCTTTGACGGCAGTATAAGCCCAGCCCTGAGCGATCGGTCTCAGGTGCACCATTCCGGTCGATGTATTGAAGATGTAGGCATTGCTGGTTAAGAAAGGTCCAAAGGACTGGAGGGTGTTGAAGGCGCCGATGACGTTGAGTTCGATGCCCCGACGAAACTCTGCTTCATCGAAACCGACAACTGCTCCCACGTCGGGAGAAACGCCGGCGTTGCTGATCAAGATATCAATCTTATTGCCACCCGCTTTCTTGACCAGGTTTATAACCGCAGCATCTAATGTACTACGCTGGCTGATGTCGACAGCCTCGAAAATGACGTTTGTTCTACCTCCACTGGCCGCTGCGATCTCGGCTGCAGCTGTCTCAAGTCTGTCAAGACGTCTTCCGAGGATAGCGATGGTTGACGCTCCGGCTTGAGCAAAGGCAATGGCAATTGACCTGCCAATACCTGTACCACCGCCAGTAATCGCGACAAATTTACCGGCTGCACTGAGCTCCGGGCGAGTTGGGTCGATGGAGGGATATGGCTTGTTATGCCAGGTTTTGGTGAAAGAGACAAAGTTATCCATGGTAACTGTTCAAGAATGATGTTTCTTGTAGCAAATTGATTGTAGTAGTTGTGGATATATCTCAGTGATGGTTATCTGGGGACTTTATAGGAATGCCTGTTCCGGTCGGAGTTGCTATTTTGCCATGGATCCTTAACTCAAGCGTCATTTGGATCATTCAGCCTACTCCATGGAAGGTATTACACATCAATTTTATCATGACCAAGGCATAAGAATAGTGGAAGTGAAACTTCCATGGAAGCCGAAAAGGGCATAGTCACAGAAACAATGGAGTTGGTGGAAAGCTAATCCTTGGAAATATGCGGTTTGTCAGCCAACTCCGCTTCCGCGGAAGCGGCTGAGCCACTATAACCTCCCTCCATGGAAGCATTGTCATCACTTTAATCCCATCTTTCGCAGCTAACGTACACTGCCAGAAACCAAACATGCAATCGAATAGCCGACCACGAAAAGTAATCTTCAACGGCATATTTAGATGGCTTGCTAATTGGCGATCAGGCGTGCGACCTCTGTTATACACGAAAGATCAAATGCGATGGACTGCAGCCTAAATGCTCAAATTGTGTCAATTACAAGACAGAATGTACTCACACTGCTCGTAGTAGAAAGTGGAAACCTAAAGCTCTGCAAGATGTTGAGCCTCGAAAGGACGATGAAATCCGGACCCTCCAGGCGCAGATGCAAGAGCTACAACAGCAACTGGTAGTATACTGTGGAATCGTGCGGTGACAGAGACTAACGTTAGCCTGCAGGCTCAGTACAAACAAGCAACAGAGTTCGCATCCGTTGCGCCCGCTCCGTCGCCCCAGGCAGACTTCCAAGACGACCTCGCTCAGGTCAGAAAGATACGCCACTCTCTTAAACTCCCGCCCTTGCAACAGACAATGCACTTGATCGGCATCTATCTCAATACTGTTAACTCGCTATTGCCTCTCTTCCATCCCGACACTCTTCTCAGACTTGTTGGAGAAACCTACGCTCTTGAACCGAAACAGCGCGACCCAGTCGTTTGGGGTGCGATCAATGTCGTGCTAGCTATGGCACTGCAACAGATGCCCGAAGGCAATAGTCATGGCACAAACTATGGCACCACAGAAAGCTATCTGAGCAATTCACAATCTGTTCTATGGGCTATAACGCTAAGCCAGACTCAACTCATTAATATTCAGACGCTAATTGGAATGGCTATGCTGCTGCAGACTGGACACGACTCTACGCCGGCCTTAGTCCTTATTTCAACAGCGATGCGTCTCATACACAAGATGGGTCTACATAACCGTGCCTATTCTGCGCATCTTGATCCTGTCGAAAGACAACAGCATGCCCGCGTCTTCTGGTTAGCCTACATCGTTGATAAGGATCTTAGCCTCCGTGCCCAACAGCCATCTATCCAAGACGACGAAGATATCGATCTTGACTTTCCTATGTCATACAGTGCGGTTAACAACGGCGGCTCTAGCGTCGGTGTAGTTACTAGTATCGACGGTAGCACCACAATGGACTATTTCCTCGCCCGGGTCCAGCTTGCCAGCATCCAGGGTGACATCTATGATCACCTCTATTCAACTCGCGCCTGGAAACGGACACCTGAAGAACGAAGGCTGAAAAGAGAGAACATCGTGCTCGCATTGAACAACTGGAAAGCTTCAGTCCCATCAGACTTCGGCGCTGCTAATGTCATCACAACTACGATTAATAACCCCTCAATCGGTGCTTTCTTCTGCATACTTCATACAAATAGTCTTCTATCCCTCATGTTGATAACAAGGGCACATGCTTGGGATGAGCAATGGGTCGGTGCTTTACGTGACCATGGCCGAGGAGGGGGCACATTACAACTACCAAGCGATTGGAACTCATTGGTAGGACAAGCGCGAGACTTCATGATATTATTCGAGCATGTTGTCCCGAGATATTACTGGTTGAAATGGTAAGTCCTCTCACGCGATGACATATCCAGCCCTAATGTGTATAGGGTCTCGACTTGTACCTACATTTCTTCCATGGTTCTCCTGACTGCCAACAACCTACATGATCTTCAGCACGCGGACTTTGAGCGGGATAGTGATCTCATCGAGAGGGCTCTCTCATGGTTTGGAGAAGTTGCAAAGGAACTGCCATCAAGGAAGACCGAAGTACTGGAGAACATTTGCGTTGAAGCAGTTCAAGCGATGAAGACTAGACGTGCTCATGAGATTGACGTGAAATTTGGGGGTGATTGGCTCATTGGGTTCCTTAACAGCCTAGAGCCTTCCTGATGGTGTAGAAATACATAAGCTCAAATACTTGTATTCTTCTACTACTCCATATGCTTCTGCAAAAATTCCAAATGAAATTACCAAGGAACTTGCTGGAAGTTACCATTCTCATACTCCCAAAACGTCCCTGGTTCAAAGTCCCCCTTAGCCGACTCAAGCAACCTTACCACCGCCTCGGCCCCTTCTAAGGGATCTTTCTTGCCCTTGTAGCCGTTAAAAGCCGTCTTGCAGTGTCCTGGACTCACAGCCCAGAATGCTATCTTAGGTTCATCCACACTGTGATTCTCGGCAGCTTGCAAGTGCAATATGAGCATATTAAGACCGGCCTTAGAAACGCAGTAATCGATATTGGCAACAGGAGGGAGCTAGAATAAATGAGCGTTTGCACATGATGTGTCTTTGGTCACGAACCTCTCTATTGTTTGTTCTGCCCATACTGCCGCGAGCGCTCGAGATCATGATGACTCTTGGGTCAGGACTCTTCCTTAGCAGTTTACCAAAGGCGTGCGTGACAACAGCGTTGCTGGTGATAAGGTTATTGTAGCAAGAATTAGATGCTGCTCGAATATCCGCCAGGTTATCTGATGATCTTCGCTCAACCTTGCCAGCGTTGTTGATAAGAACTGTCATGGTTAGCTCTCCGGCCTATTCAGTGCTCGGAACACATACCGTCTAGTTTCCCATATTCTCGCTCCAGAGATGACACGGCTGCTTCGATAGAAGCGTCGTTCTCAATATCCAACTCGACATGTCCAAATTTACCCTTTATTCCACTATCAATTAGTGATGTAATCGCTTCTAGTGCTGTATCCTTTCTGCGACACCCGAGTACGATGGTCGATGAAGGGAGGCGGGTAGCGATGGCTTGCACAATGGCGTAACCAATCCCACGATTTGCACCAGTGACTAGGATAGTTGCCATCTTTTCTGTTGCATAGACTCACACAGGAAGATCTGCTTTAATTCTGGTTCATCCAATATTCATCGCCTTATAAACTATGGGTCGGATTTACGGCCTTCGGATTTAAGGAAATGGCTCTGCAAAGCCGTCACGGCCACAGTCCGGAATGAGCTTACTGCGGTCACTCACACTGTGAATGTTATTTCTGGTGCCGCATGTTCGTATAATTATTACGTTGATATAGGCTTTTATCTATTACCTCTCTAGCTAAGGACTGGTTAGCAATTTGGATTTATATCCCATTATGGGCTCAATTTAATGTGCCCAGTACTTAAGGATAATTAAGGCTACTATTTTGCTGCTACTGCCTTTAAAGCTATATTATAATAATAGACCTTTTACTTAGCAGTAAGAACTGAAGACCTCTTATTTAAGTGATGAAAAGGCGTAGGCAGACTTAGAATATCTTTTTATAAGTTTAGGCCAGTTTTGTTTAGGCTCATGATTCGATAATAGAATACATTGCTGTATGTAGAGATATGGGCTCATAGGTCAAAACAGAGATGTCTATCATCTTATTGAAACATCGGTTGATCCGCTTGAAGCCCCTGGAGTAGTGAGGTCCACGATGACCATGGAACTCCATCTTCCAATACCTCGTCATCGAAATTGAAGCCTTCGATGAATTTCAAAGGGTCATCGATATGGCCTAGCTCAGTTGATGTAGCAGGGTCTAGGTTACAGCCAGTACGTGCATTTGGTGCCTCCAAATTCTTCCGCAGCGTTTCAGCCTTAGTCCTCAGTGCCTTCAGAACAGCTGGTTTAGCTCCAGTACAGCCAATGAAGTCAAAAGCCATCTCCTGCCTGAAGATGCTATCTATGGCACACCATGCGCGCTCGACGTGTGACCCTTTCGGTTTAGTGCACAAGTACCACAGAACATATAATGTTACATGGTACTGTGGATGAACCTTCTTAGCCCAGGCAAACTGGGTGAGAAAGGGATCATCTCCACCTGTCCTCGCTTCCAGGATGTCCAACGCAGCGACAAGTGTTTTCTCTTTTAGTACGTAGTCATTGACCTCCCTGTTTTGCGATATGAGCCATTGTTGGTTTGTGACGAAGTCGAGTTTGCGCAGAAGAAAGCCCGTGCAGTGGGCTGTAAGTCGTTGGTGCGGAGTCAATGGGTTGCAATTCTCTAGTCTGGCCCTGGTCTTAGTACACACTTCTTTAAAGACTTTTTCTCTCCATTCTTTTCTCAATTTTGATGCTGAGGCGTTGCCAGTTCTGAGCTTTTCCGTAGCCTTGGCCAAGTCGATATTGATCAATGAGAACGTCATGCTGGTCCATTCGGTCCGTTCCGCTGGCAGCTCCTCCATTCCCGGAAAGAGATCAGCATCATTGATATTCAAGGGTAGCTTGACATCAGATGTCAATAGCAGGTCATTTGGGTCTTCGAGACCAAAGTCCTCCCCGGAGCGGCTATCTCTGGTAATAATATGCCACCAAAGCCTTCGACGGAGCTCCGACTCAAAAGGTGGCAAGCCAAGCCTAATCCCATCCTTATAGAGTCCAAGAGATTGAGCGACCCGAATGACGAGACCATTGAGAATCCAAACAGATTTCCCTCGATTATGAACACGTATTGCTGACTTGATTCCAAGTGATTAGGCATGACACACGAGGATGGGTGGGGGGGGGGGGGGGGGGTAAAGCTCACAAGGTATATAGCTAAAGCTCTTAGGCCAGTCAATGTTGGCCGATTAAAGAAGTCTCCATGGGCAAAAGCTTGTTCGATACCCATTTTGAAACGTTGAAGTTCCGTGGTCTTGTCCAAGAAGAGCACTGTAGAATCGTCGAGTGACACAGCCGCTGCAAAGTAGACACTGTAGCAAAATGCAAGATCGTCCAATTTTGCAGTGACAGGATCATCAATAGTTGAATAAACTCTGACTTCATCGGTAGGGATATGTGTCAACTTCAGTCCGAGGATGATTTCAACATTGTTCAGGTAGATATTCCAAAGCTCGACGGCAGCAGCTTTGCCAGGGTGAAATGCAGAAGGCTGTTGGGTATAGCAAGGAAAGGACATAATTCCCATTACGTCGAAGGGAGAGCTTGGAAGCTCTCTCTGCTCGTGCCGCGATGCTGCTAGAGCAGTTGCAATACTTTCGTCCTAACACTTATTAGCATCACAATCATCATACAGTATTAGCAAGGCTCACTTCACCAACGACTCGAGTTACCAGTATTTCATCAAGATACTGGCCGGTCGATATCTTTTTCAATGGCAACTCTGGAGGCAACTCTTGCTCATGCATAATCGTGCTTGGTATTAAGCTGTTACAAGACAGATTCCCATGCGCAGTCGCTTCGGCCAGGCTGCGCTCTAAACTCGAAATGCGACCAGCCATCTCAGCCAGAATTGTTTTCTTCGTTCGCCTCACGCGCTGTCCAATCGGTGGATAAATGCATGTTCTGCCCGAAGAAGCGCATGACGAACATGGTGTGTTCTTGTCACATCGCGTCTTCTTAATTTTGCAGGTGTTACACGAACGAATTTGATACCGTCCGGACTCGGCGTTAATCGAGGGAGCTTTAGAGGCCATTGATACTTAAAACGATTGGTCGAGGACTACTAAAGCCCGCTCCGAATGGCAGAGCGCCCAGAACTTATGTGCTACACGGCGTCGGGCTTAAAATCGTGTTAAGTCCGGGTGGCCTGGGGATGCTCGTACATAAAATGGCGGGCGGTAGACTAATTTTAAACCCGGGCCCGGTTTCGTCATATCTGATTGGTAGATTGAAGTTAATCCTTTGTGATATGATTGTTGTTTCCAGGGCCTGAGTGATGGGCCGATAGTAGCAACTTGACTGGTGTTGACTATGGATAACCATATTCACTGGACAGTTATTTTTGGAGATTAAAAAGAGAAAATGTATATAAGTATATGCCTCGCACAAGCAAGTGCAGACAAAGTATTCTTCTACACACAGAACCTCAAGGGCCTCATCTCAAAAAACTTGATAACGATCGATTCTGCTCATCATGGCAACTTCAACCGCAGCACTCCCCAAGACGCACCGAGCACTTGTCCTTCATTCCACTCGAGATCCTTATGACATCTCAGTAGTCACCCAGGATACTCCTCAGCCATGTCCCGGAAGTGCTGTGATCCGCGTTCTGTCAGCCGGCGTCTTGACCTACGCAGACCGAGTTTACAGTGGTCATAAGCCTTATCCTTACCCTGAGCCTTTCGTCATAGGTTCTAGTGCCATCGGCCGCGTCGCCGCTGTGGGGCTTGATGCGACTTCTCTCAAGCTTGGACAGCTCGTCTTCTTCGACAGCTTTATTCAGGCGCGAGATAACCCCAATTCCCTTATCCTCCATGGTCTCTCCGGAGGCTTTGGCACCGCGAGTAATAAGCTCATGGAGGGTGAGTGGCGAGACGGCACCTATGCAGAGTACGCCAAAGTTCCGCTGGAGAATTGCTTTCCGTTAGATGAGCATCGGCTCACAGGAAACCGAGCTGAAGGATGTCTCGGATACTCAATGGCAGATTTGGCCTATCTTTGGACCATCTCGGTTCCATTCGGAGGGCTCCAAGATATAGGCATCAGACCTGGCGAGAAGGTCATCATTAGCCCTGCTGTTGGAACTTTTGGAAGCGCTGCTGTTCTCGCTGCTCTGTCCATGGGGGCTCAGGTTATCGCAGTCGGTCGCAACAACGAAACTCTGAATAAGGTAAAGGCTTTGGACCCTGAACGAGTCAATACAGTTCTGAACACTGGAAACGTCGAGAATGATGTCAAAGAGCTGACCAAGGATGGTCCGGTGGATGCTTTCTTCGACGTCTCTCCGGGAAAGGCTATCACTAGCACTCACTTCAAGAGTTGTATCATGTCCCTTCGTCGTGGTGGACGGGTGAGCTTGATGGGCGCACATGAAGAACTGAAACTGCCGACTCAGTTCATCGTGCTCAATGACATCACTCTCAAAGGAAAGTGGATGTACACCAAGGATGACATGCGCTACATGATCATGCTGGTGGAAGCAGGGTATCTGAGGCTTGATGCGGTACAGACTGTTGGTAACTTTCCCATGGAGGAGTTTGCGGGGGCATTCGAGAGGGCAACCAAGATAAGCGGTCCTTTCTCCCAGGTTCTCATCTCACCTTGAACTCTGACCAAGTGTCGCGCATTGCGTTTATGAGCAACTGAGACATGATCGTACTCCACTCAATAGTTATCGAGAAAACCGCTTTAAATAAATTTAGTATATATCCTGACAGATCTCTCGAGTTATATTTGTTTAATCAATGATAGCAAGTGCTCAATCAACATACGTGATGCAGGATCTTCAGGCATTGGTTGATTTTAGTGAACACGCAGGGTAGATTGTTTGACCGGATCTCTTATCTTATCTGATAAGAGAATCTGGTGGAGTCAGTTTTATTCTCTGACTGGAGACTGGTCCATTCGTCATGGTATCGGCCGAGATCAGTCTGACGATGCCATGTCTGACTGCAAGAATGATTGGTACTGAGCGGAAAGGATTCATGAATTTCTCTGAGGATGATGCGTTGCTACATCCGAGTATACGATACCCTTAACATGTTTTGGATTAGAAGACTGATGACACAAAGCGCACTTGGCCGCTCAGACCGCCGAGACATCTCCCACCAAAAAATGACGACAAACTCATGCCAAGCGCTGTAGGCCATGTCTTATTTGACGATTGTTCCGTCAGGCAGTGCAAATTGCCATCGAAGGATTCGTTTTGTACATGAATACAGCGACGTATCATAGGCACTTCACTGCATCGGCGTCATAGAGTTTTGTGGATTCCTTCGGTGCATTCTTCGATGCAGAGACCCTGACGCATCCGGGCACTGCCGTCTCCACGCACGCTTTTGCTGCACTCTAACGCTTCTTGAGCTTGCAGAATTTAGCGCATCAGCAGCTTGCATATGATGATACTGCCGTAGGATGAATGTTACGGGGGGTACTTGGCTGCCTCTCTGCCGGTTTCACCGCTGTTTCTTTTAATTCTTTATCCAGACTTTTGTGTCGCATTGTCATTGAACGTTATGATTGTCTGCCCTGGTGGCTTGGTCTGCCCCTCAGCCTGATCTCGACATGACCATTTGAATCACTAATGAAACAAGAAATAATCCGAGATTAAGCTTAAATTCTTCTAATAACTAATTCCGATAGAGAAAGTGGCTTCTGAGATGCCCACGCGGCCTTAATTTGTGATGCTGACAATTTCAATGCCAAGATGGCATACGTCAGCTCAGGCGTCATTGAAACCCCGTGAGTGGATAAGGTTCTCGCCTTTCGGATTTAGGAAGCGTCGCCTTGTCAGCATCTCCGATGTCATCCTGCCCATGGCGGGGTCCGGAGCCCGGGCTTCCCGCACACAAACATTTAAGCTTAATGTGAGGATGTAACTGAGACCATCAGAGTATCATCAGTAACAACAGTTCAAACATTATATGCCAAAGAGTTACAGGAACAGAAGTCAATTAGTAGATACAGTTTCAGTATGTCAGAGCAATACAAGGCTGAGACAGTAACACTCAAGTAAATATCACATAAACTTATATCCATGGAGATAGCCGTGAAAAAGAACCCTCGCACAACCCGCACTCCGAAATCTGTGTAACAAAGGAAAATCACACTACCTGAATTACGAGGCCAGAGTGGCTCAGCTGCCTTGGAAGAAGCCGAACCCGCCCAGACGCACCTAGGTCTTGGCTTCGCTAACTGGCCAAGAGAACGCGTACAGTCCCCGTGTCATAGATGGGGGTCATGCCGCTCTGAAACTGCTAAATCCGACGTCAGATCTTCATATATGGTTCTCCAGAATTCCACTCTGCCATGTCCGTTTCAAAGGGTCTGTGACGGTGAACATCTGTGGACAGCTGAAAGCTATGAGTCTCTTGACCTTTTTCTTGATCTTTTCTCAGGTCTGCTCTTTTTATTCTGTGCAAGGTATGTTATGGCTCGTATCGTGATGATAAAATACTGACATGTGCATAAAGCGTTATCTGTTGCTAGAGATACTATTGATCGATCATCAACGATTGAGAAATTGGACTTTTCTCAAAGTCCACATACTCTCGACTCGGCATCGTCATTCCAGGTCGAATTTGAGGTTCCTTATGAACACCAACGGATCACACTGAATCTACAGCCTTCCAAAAATGTTGTATCGCGCCTCACTACCGTTCAACACATTAATTCCACAGACAATCATGGTGTCATCACTGATATTCAGAGTCAACGTCCGTTACTTTACAAAGGTACAGCCTTTGTAAATGACATCGAGAAGCAGACACAGAGAAGAGTAGGATGGGCACGAGTAATGGTGCGATATCGCCAAGGCCGACACGTCATTGAAGGCACTTTCACCAATGATGGTCCTCATCATCATATTTCGCTGGATTCGAATTACCGCCAGGCGCGACAAATTCAGGACGGGCAACTCAGAAAGAGATCTGAGCGAATGGTAGTATGGAAACAAACGAGAGATGAAAGCGACGGAGCTCTTTCGCAAAGGTCATCCTCAGATGAGCCGACATGCCAGGCGCACAGGTACAATGATCGACGTCGCCGGGCTTCCGACAACCAGGATACCCACCATCCTCTACTAGCACGACAAGACGTCAACGACTGGTTCGATCCAAGAGATGTGATTGGGTCTACAGAAGGATGTCCAAACTCACGAAGAGTCGCCTTAATAGGCATCGCAGCCGACTGTTCGTACACAGCAGAATTCGATAACATGCAAGATGCTCGAGATAACATCATTTCTCAAGTCAATATCGCATCTCAAGTCTACGAAGACGCCTTCAACATCGCACTCGCCATTCAGAATTTGACCATAAGCGATCCATCTTGTCCCTCTGACGCACCACGATCAATGCCCTGGAACCTTCCCTGCACAGCAAACGTCGACATAAACGACCGCCTAAACTTATTTACACAATGGAGGGGCAGACTTCGCGACGATAACGCTGTCTGGTCTCTTTTCAGCGCCTGTCGAAGCGGTTCAACTGTTGGCATCGCCTGGATTGGAAGTTTGTGTAATCGATCACGAGGATCATCATGGGGTCGCGGCGGTACAGCCTCTGCGAACGTCGTTGTTCGTACAGCTTCGGAGTGGCAGGTCTTTGCGCATGAACTGGCGCATAACCTTGGGGCTTCTCATGATTGTACATCTGGCGATTGCGGGACATCAGGATACTCACCTTCCGATGATTGCTGTCCTAGAAGTGAGACAACCTGCGATGCTCGGAACCAGTACATCATGAACCCCCAAAGCTCTCCTGGTCTGGAGGAGTTCTCGCCTTGTACTATCGGCACTATCTGCACAGGCATCGGCGAGGAACACGTCGATACGAGTTGCCTTGTCAGTGAGGACGAGGTGCCCGATGTTAACGACAGTCAATGCGGCAATGGCATCGTCGAACCTGGCGAGTCATGCGACTGCGGTGGTGAAGACCGATGCCCTCCAGATTCCTGCTGCAACCCCTCGACCTGCCAACTCCGTAGTGGTGCAGAGTGCGATCCACTCACAGATGGATGCTGCACTGACGAATGCCGAGTCGCTTCAAGTGGCCTCGTCTGCCGCGAAAGCACATCCTCTTGCGATCCCGAAGAGACGTGCGACGGAAGTTCAAGTCAATGTCCTGTTGACGTACAGAACTGCGACGACGATGGAGATTCAGGCAGTAGAGGAGGAGGAGGATCCTCAGGAAGTTGGTTCGACAGAAACAGAACAGCTGTCATTGCAACAGCGGCTTCAGTTGGTGGAGTTATTCTGATCTTGGTACTTTGCGTGATATTTTCGTGTATCAGGAAAAGAAGCAAAAGACAGAGAGGAACGCAGTTGCAGAGTGGAAATATCAGCGATGGATCAAGTGCACCAGCTCTTGAGCATACGAGAGGCGTTACGCAGATGCCGAGTGCGCCGCGATTGGTTCATAGATATGCATAGTTTGGCTTGGAGTTTATGAGATATGTTTTATGATAGATAGGCGGGAGTCAATATTGTTGGGATATTTACTGGTATAAGAAATATGTATTTTGAATTGACCGATATTTTTAGTCTCAAGTCTGATGCCATCTAGCCACCTGACTTTTCCTTTCCCAGGTTCACGATATTCTTGGTCGTGACAACGTCAACAAACTTAGGTAGAATACGCTTCATGATGAAATCATGAACCTCAGGGTCATCATCAATAATCCCATCCTCAACACAGATAACGTGAAAGTCCAGCTCAGCACCAGCCCTCGCACTACTCAGAATGCTCCCCATAGTCGTCAATCCAACCAGTACAACATGTCTGATCCCACGAGCCCGTAGGTAAGCGAGTAGATCTGAGGACCCAAAACAGCTCGGTTGCAGTTTACCGAGCAAAATCTCATCCTTCCCTCCCCAGCCTCCCGGAGGCACTAGCTCAGAAGGAACACAATAGTGAGGACGATGAGGGTCAGAAGGCGCATTGGCAAAGGCACCGCTAGCTTCGAGCTTGGCCACCCAGCTTGCAAGCTTATTATAAGGCGACACGAATGCGTTTGAGTTGATGTTGAAGGGAAGCGTATGATGGATAATCAGAGGCACATTGTCATACAGGGATCGAGAATTCTCTGCCTTGGCTGAGGCACGACGAGATTTGATCTCTGAGCGGAAGAAGTTTAGAAGTTTCAGGACTTTGCCGAGATAAGCAGCCTGCTCTTCTTGAGAGAAACGTCGGAGGATTTGAGATTGAACATCGGAGAGAAGAAGGGCGGTATGATCGAGCGAGACTGGAACATAGAACGGAGATGCCATCGTGAAATCTCGTTTAATCTGAAAAGGATATAGTAAACAGTTTGACAGAGGTATAGATAAAGGGCTCACTTATATGTTACCCACCTCAATATTATGCTGTGATAATCGGCCTGAAGCCCGTTCGGCTTGTTGCATCTCAATTGTCCGAATCTACCTTGTTGATATTTTCATGAATATGTTGCTGCTGCTGTGTCAGCTTTTAGTCAGGGTCCATGGCGGCATTTTAGACCGTGGCTGTATTTTCGCAAAAGAGCGAGCCGCTATCTTCGGCCTTTTACCAACATCGATCGACTACTAGATGAAACATTCTGTGCTAGAACAAGATACATCGCAATCAATTTGCGATGTATGGAGTCCATATAGATAGCAGGCTTTACAATCTATACTATAATCTAGAAAAATGAAAATTTTGGGGCCGTTAACTATCTATTCTTACTTAAGTTGTGAAACCCCTTTAGTGTAGACAAAGGCTACATAGGAAAGAAGTCCTGAAGGAGAATTCTTTACAGCAAAGCTTATATTCCTGTTCTCAATAGCTCATCTTAGCCTCGTTATAAGAGTCCGGGGTTTTTACCTTATGATAATAGAAATGTTGCTGTTGCATCAACACCCAAAGATAGTAGAACCCTAAACATGAGGGTAATAGGCGACTCACTGGAATTTGTTGTCGCTAGCTAAAAAACTCTTTTTTTTATGCTCTTCGAGATTTCCATCCTGGCCAGGTAACAGAATTTGCGCATATGGGCTTTCCCTCGTCATAAATCTCACCCAACCACAGATCTCACAGCTTCCGGAGCAAGTCCGCTCTAAAGAAATAACATCATACATTCGTATTTGTCACCAAACTGTGATCTACAGAAATGCAGTAGCCAGTGCTATAGCTTGCTTGAACAGCCATCCATAATCGACGTCAATTTAACTGCAGGTTTTTCACCTATGCATCCTTACCGTACGGGGTAAGCTAGAGTCTAGGGCCGAGCGCGTGTTATACTCGTATAAACACACCAATGGCAGTTCATGTATTAGGGCTGTAGGCTGAATCGACGATCGGCAATAGTTGCTAGTGTACATATCCTTCTTGGCGTCGATCCCGAGATAAGGTCCGTCTACTCGAATGGAGGATCTGCAAAGTTGGGGGACACCATACCCATGGTCTTTAAGAAATCAATACCTTGAAGATGCCACGGTGGAAGGCGTCTCTGAGCTGCTCATAGTCACGACGTCTCAATCTATAGATCTGTAAAAGCATGCTCGGTATCGTGAGCCATGAAAGAGTTCTGTGTTTTCTTACTCGCAAGAAACTCGAGTAGGAGACTCCACTGACTGAGGATGGTGGTCGTCTGTGTACGCCAATGTTCAAACCCCATCTGAGATTCTCAAAGAGGTCTTTGAAGACGAGACTACATCTCATCAGGGTTAGCAAACTATACAACTTTTCTTTTAGCTCAGACGGCCCTAGACAAGTACGAGAATAGGTGCGGTTCTGCTAAAACTGATGTCATGAAACGGCTATTCTGCTGTCATTTTTCGTATCTTTGCTCACTATTTCACACCAATAGTCCAATATCGCACGGACATGCGGCGCGCGTTCACCAATCGCCGTAGCTCCAATGGCAAGCATAATATTTAGCATTCGATAAACTCAACTAGACTGCCTTTAGCTTAATGGAGATTCGGCAATATCTATATTTTGGTTCTATTGAAGATCATAACTTCACAAATTACTTACATATTAGACTCCAAGCCAATGAAGACTGGGTGATCTTTAATGGCCAAGATCTTAGCCTTGAAGATCGGCAATTGGTAAGACAAAATGGGAACTGTCTCAACGGGCTGATATTTGTGTTGCTGAATTGTTTTACTGAGACATGACAACAATGCAGAACGTCATCGATGCGGATTTACTGTAAGGAGATAATTAGCGAAACATGGAAAAGAAGAAAAGAAAGTAAAGGGGAGGTTCAGAAGCCAGAAGCTGTACAAAATTCGAGCTGGTTGTCACCAGTATCTATCCGCAGTAACCGCAATTCCTCCTTCCTGTCTCCCATCACATTATACTTTTCACCATGAAGATCTCTCTGTCGTCTTGGCTCGCAGCAGCCTGCCTGTTCCCAACAACTCTTGCGTTCCCTCAAATGAGCGCTGAGCAGCTCAAGACTTATCAAGAGCACGCGAAGCGAAGCCATGTAGCATGTGCTTACTCCCAAGAAGAGAAGAGGAATGCAGGTGAATGCCCCTTTGCGAAGGAGAAGCGAGCTGCGAAGTTCAATGCCGAGAAACAGCGCATCAGTGTTTCTGGCGAGCACGAGTTCCTGCCTCCTAATCTCAAAGCTGGTGATCAAAGAGGTAAGTCATCTTCAGCTCATCCTCATGAGGTCAGTCTAATGATGTATAGGACCCTGCCCTGGACTCAATGCCTTGGCCAACCATGGATACCTTCCGAGAAACGGTGTCGCAGACATGCAAACTATCATCAAGGCTACTAATGAGGTTTATGGCATGAGCCTTGACCTCGGTGGTTTCCTTGCCGTCTATGGCACTGTCTTCAACGGCAATCTAGTCTCTCTCAACCCCGGCTACTCTATCGGGGGTCCAAGCCGCTTCAGTCAGAACATTCTCAACGGTGGCGGCCTTCTCGGCACTCCATCTGGCCTCAGCGGTAGTCACAACAAGTATGAGTCTGATGTCAGCGCCACAAGAGGAGATCTCTATGTGACTGGCAACAACTACCATGTCATCCTCGAGCGCTTCGTGGAGTACTGGAATGCCATCCGCGAAAACACTCCTGCGCCTGAGCAATACTCTGCACTTGCACCATTTCACTACAAGAGCTTCCGAGATTCGGAAAAGATCAACATTCACTTCCTCTATTCACCCTTTGCCGAAATCTTAGTCTCGCCGGCTGCGTATTCCTTCCCTCCTCGCATGATGGCTAATCATTCCGGTAAGTATCCCGAGGGATATCTTTCGCGTGAGGTCTTTACCAGTTTCTTTGGCGTCAAGGGCAATAAACCTGGAAACTTCAAAGTCAATCAGGGTTGGGAGCGCATCCCGGACCGCCGACCCGTTGAAGACGAGTTTTCCATTCCTGACTTTCTCGTTGATGTCCTAGAGCATGCTGCCAAGTATCCTCGTCTGTTGAACATTGGCGGCAACACCGGCAAGGTGAATTCCTTCTCGGGTGTCGATATCGGCGATCTCACCGGTGGCGTCTTCAACACTGCGATGCTGTTGAAAGGCGACAATCTTGAGTGCTTCGTTATGCAGATCATTATGGCTGCTGCGCCTGATGTTCTTGGAAGTCAGTTCACTGACGTGACCAAGGCTTTGACGCCGTTGGCGGACAAGCTTCTACAGCCGCTTACTGGGAAGACTTGTCCGAAGCTGCAGAAGGTGAACATGAAGCTGTTTGAGAAGTTCCCTGGTTACGCTGAGTCGTACGGAAGCTATGCTGGTGTCTCCAGGGGATCTCTAGATGGTGTGATCGAGGGTGTTGGCGGCATTCTGGGAGGGCTTGTGACCACTGGAAATAAGGTATAGTCTAATCGATAGGGAGTTTGTACTGGGCTCTGCTGCTACTATCGACCTCTGACTGGAGAGGTGAAATTGGATGTAACCTCTAATTTTTGCGAAGTTTCTTGTACTAGTTTACACTGCATCAATAATAAAAGCCTTATTGCCAATTTTGTGCGACAAATCTGCACGAGGTTCTCAAGGTTGGTCGACTCATCAGATGTAGTGCTACCTGTTCCCGACTTGAGACATGTGATATTGTACAGCATACGATGCCTACCGAATGAATCTACGAAATACCTATGTATAGCGGTGAGCCACCGAACAACTTCTTTCAATCTATTGCGAGTGGACTCTGCAGCTCGGAAACTTTACTCCCTCTAGCTATGCAATCCTACTACAGAACTCAACTGCCGCTGCGGAGTGAAATGCCCATGCCGAGGCACTTGACTTAATAGAGTTCAATAGTTCCAAGGACCGAGCGCGCACCACTTAAGCCAGCCAACAGGGGCAAGCCGAAGCCACTGTCGATCCCGACTCCTCAACAATCAGAAGATGGCGATCATCTCGTGAATAACATGGAGATGAGAGGGTGTGCTGAGGGTAGTCACATGAATTGTGGGTTCCTGCGTCATAGATCAAAGCGTATAAGGCCGAGCACAAGCGGTAAGGCCGGAAGAAGGTAACCTCAATTGCGGGTTGAGTTTAATTGCGTGTGTAACCTGTTGTATCTTCTCGTAATGGGTGGAGATCTCCCCGCAAAAGGGATTTCCTAATTATTTACTGTAAGCTGGGCACATCCTTCACCAGTCAATTGACCATTATCTTCATATCTTGCTTTGATCTCCTTCTAATCAACGGCAATGCGCTTCTCGGCACTGCTCGTACCTTTGGGATTGACCGGCGTCGGACTTGCAGCACCATTCACTCCAGATGGAGCGTCTCTTATTGCGAAACGCCAAGCTCTGAGTGGTCTTTTTAATGGCGTCAATAATGCGCTGGCTGTGACTGTCAGCGGACTGCTCGATGAACTCAGCGACGCCTTGAGCAAAGGAGACAGGGGGAAAACACTTGATACACTGCAGAAGCTGAAGCCTACCAAAAAGCCAAAGAGCGTTGCCGACGCCTCATCTATCACTGAAAGAGTCGCAAAGTCAGAACCGGATAACATCGTCGAGTACAGCGCGCGACTGATAGCAAACGGTATCGTCTCTGGGTCAACAGATGATCTACTGAGTTATGCCCAAGGTCTTGGCTCCGCAGAAAACGGAAATGACAACAAGTATGCCAGGGAAAGCCCTTTATTACCAGCGTGTTCGTCTAACATGATGCAGAAACCCTGATCCGCCCAAGAGCATCTACCCAAAGGCGGCAAGCTGCGATGCGCCTTATACAGTCAGCGAGGACAAGCTTAGGTCTGCCATCTACATCCCAGACACTTTTACCTACGGCAAAAAGCTGCCTGTGATTTTGTTTCCTGGTACCGGATCTACTGGGTGGACCGCATTTCGGGGCAGCTTCATCCCATTGCTTACCGGTGTTGACTGGGCTGATCCCGTATGGGTCAATGTGCCTGGACTTCTTCTTGACGATGCGCAAATTAATGCCGAGTACGCTGCGTACGCGCTCAACTACATCGCTTCCCTCTCGAAGCGAAGCGTTGCCATCATCGGTTGGTCACAGGGCAACATCAATACTCAATGGGCATTCAAGTACTGGCCATCGACTCGCAAAGTCACGGCCGATCACGTCGCCATCAGCGCAGATTACAAGGGCACTATCCTAGCCAACTTTGTCGACGTGTCGGGAATTACCAACGACCCGTCTGTTGTTCAACAAGAAGCTGGTAGCAATTTCATAAAGACTCTTCGTTCCGACGGTGGTGACTCGGGATATGTACCGACGACAAGTCTTTACTCCAGCTTCTTGGACGAAATAGTCCAGCCGCAAGAGGGCACTGGGGCCTCAGCTTACCTCCTTGACGAAAGAAGCGTCGGCGTCACAAATGCTGAAGTTCAGAAAGTTTGCGCTGGAAAGCCAGGCGGTTCATTTTATACGCATGAGAGCATGCTTATAAACCCTCTTAGTTTCGCTCTGGCCAAAGACGCGCTCATACATGACGGTCCTGGAAAGATCTCCAGGTTGGACTTGGGAGCAATCTGCGCTTCATCTCTGGCACCTGGCCTTGGACTGGAAGATCTTTTGATCACTGAGAACTCGATTGTCATTGCGGGTATTACTCTTGTTACGTATCTGCCCAAGGTGAAACAAGAGCCGGCGATTATGGAATACGCTTTGAACGCAGCGGGGACGTGTTAGTTATTGTGGGACAGCAATGTCAGAAATTGAAGTCGTGTCATCATCGGTGATAAGTGTCGTGCTCCGTCTATCACCAGCTTCTTAGGATCTAGATCTCATCCACTGCAGTGCGATTAAAAAGTAATTATAGTTGAGCGATTAAACCATTTAAAAATTAAAACAGGCATCTCGAAGAAATACAACTTTCATCGAGCTGACAAAAAGTATTTCGCGTGCCTCCACACCGGATTGAACGATGGACCTTTGCATTACAAGTGCAACGCTCTACCACTGAGCTATAGAGGCGGCTCACTTTAGTTATCAACGGCACAATCAATTTGGCATAATGTTCAATTGGCTTTGCTAAGCAGTATCCCCATTAATGGCCAACATGTAACATGTCCATGTTCTTTTCTCATAGCTTCCGCTCAATAGACGCTTTGTGAACTCGCAAGCGAATCTTTCCGTATCTGCCACTCACTCCCTCGCTACCCATCGTGTTTACTCCACCAGAATGGCCTATAACGGAATGATATCCAGTACAATCTTCATTATCTAGTAGAGCCGCAATCGATTTTCAGTTTCTAGACGGTAATGAGATGTTCAGGTGGTGTCTTGTTTGCCCATCCACTATACATCATATCCATGGCCTCAAATCTCCTCCAGCAGCCACTCGATGGGCGTCGCATACAAGATATGATGGATTCCTCGGTTACCTCCCTAGGCACCACAAGTCAGAATTGCCGCGACACGGCCATCATCTCCCATGATACTAGCACCCGAATCTCCCTGAGTAGAGAAATTCTTCCTGGCCCCGTGCCGAATAGAGCCCAGGATACACCATTCCTCGGAAACCACCAGAAGGCCATCAACGAACCTTCGGACGACGGACCTGGCTGTATTGGTGACACCGTGGCTTGCTCCGCTTGCGCTACCATACATGCATACTCGCATGAAATCCTCATCAACAACAGTCTTTCCTGGCACGACGAATTCAAAGTCAGGGCATCTCATTTCGGCTTCTGACATGACACCAGTCTGTGTGAATGAATGAATCCCGGGGAGCATGCTATATCTTCGCTCTCTTTCCTATTCTGAATGCCGCTCGGACATGAATTGAGGATGAGTAAGGACTGCGGCAAGCTTGGTGGGTACCTTGTTTTCCAGCTTCTTCACCAGCGTCTGGTGCTTCTTCTGATCTAGCTCCATGAGAACCCAGCCGCGGAAGCGAGCCGGCGAAGAACAGCTTAACCCGAACTTTGGTGAAAGTAGGACGTGTCCGAGAGTTCGTGATTCCATTGACTCGAAAGGTTCAAGTCGCTGCAGGCTACTTTCTTTCTGGCCTTGGAGCCACGAAGATATTCGATCCGTCGTTCGGGGACTGGTATGGAGGACTCGCCAAGATTGATCGCTGACTGGGTCTGACAGATTTGGTTACGGAGGAAATATGTCGTGTCTTGGTACGTCTTGTTCCCAGGCTGGATGATGTCTCGACTGTTATGAGCGTCGTGACAAACATCGATGTTCTCTTCCTCTGGTCCCAAAATGACATGTCGGCAGGTCAAAGTAACCACGGTTTCGGTGTTTCGGATGCGTAGGTAAAGACCTTTGGTGCCCTCGCGTGTTGGGTTTCGAGAGGAGGCAATCTTGGTACCCAGGAACTCAGAGAGCTGGATACTGTCCCTTCTGTAGCCCTCTTCTTGAAGAATGGGAATGTCAGGGCTGAGTTTTGCGGTCGATAGTTCACTATCTGTGGTTAGCAAAATTTGAGTTTGAGGTTATGAGTCTTACCACTCTGTTTGATCTTGATCATTCGAGCAGCACTGCGTGATTCTGGACTCCTTGATCTCGACTTCAACGTCGTGAATACCGTGCTCTCGCAGAACTTGACGGCATCTGAGAGCCACAGCTCTTCCGTTCAACCAGGTTGTCGATTTGAAATACTATCTCAATACTGGGTTGAAGTAATTCTCTGCTGTAGTTCTTTGCTGATTTAAGCTCAGTCACAAGTCTCAGCCGCAGCTTCGTGAAGCTTAAATCAGCAGAGAGAATTGTCAAACAAGACTTCTGTGTTATATATTTGCTTCCATCTTGATTGGTACCTTGACGAAGTTGCAGTTAAATGATTTTGACTTGACATCTATGTCTGGGAAGCTCCTCGGCCTTGTCTCTTGTGTGATTGGGAGAATTATAAGATAAGAGCTAATTTCGAAACCGAACAGTCGACGATTACAAGGATCGATAGCTCAGTGGTATGAGCGAGGGATTGCAGATCCCTAGGTCGCGTGTTCGATCCACGCTCGGTCCTAATGTTCGTATTTTTGCAAGGTTGAGCAATTGACCCCAGTTCTGAGCCTCTCTTCATTTTTTGCCTTGAAATCGTGGTCATTCTATATCTGAGTCTGTGTTGAGAACAGGGGCACTTTATCAGATCTGCTGACAAGGTTGAGTGTAAAATAGGGTCTCTAACTTGCAAGGTGGTAAGCCAGACACCTCGTGACCAATTTACCGGAGTCTAACAACTTATATTATCTTTTAGTTAAAAATATAATAATTTCCTATCATCCAACCGATCTTGTAAAGCTCCTAGATGCGAATGGTGACCAGGATCATGACGCTAATTCGCTCGTTGACTTAGGGATGCATGATCACAATTGAGAACCCGCTCAACAACCGACATTGGGGGGCTGGCGCAACGGTAGCGCGTTAGATTCCAGCGATGGATCTTCAAATTCCTCCTGAAGAAATCGTGACTCCTAAAGGTTATCAGTTCAAATCTGGTGTCCCTCATTTTTGGCCATGCGCACTTTTTTCGTATCAGGGCAAGGCTCCACTAACTCCACCAACACTTTGCGGATGAGGGCTTTGTCAGTTGAGGAGACATGTAATGAATGGTGTAGTATGTTGTGTGTCGATCAAGGATCGATGCAGAGAAAGAATCCAATCAGCCACAATGGAGATGGGCTGGGTCTTAATAAATGATTAAAAGAAATTGCTTTAATTCACGTTCAGGGTTTCCAAGTGAATGTGTCTATGTACGTCTAAAAAGAATAAGGCAAGTCTAATAAAGAATTAAAGAAATAGTTAAAGAATGCTTCAAGAAACCTCCAAGTCAATATCAACGTTGTATGCGGAACCCTCACTCTTCTCTTCCGTAATGATATCATGAGCAATCTTCTCAGCCAGCGCATACACTGTACCGACAGGGTGACCTGGGATGAGAACAGGGAAAGCAGAGGCATCAACAACTCGCAGTCCCTTGACACCATACACACGGGCCTTGGAATCAAGGACAGCCATGTCATCACCCTTCTTGCCCATCTTGCAAGTGCAAGCTGCGTGCCAAACAGTCATGAGAGTGTCACGAAGAACAGCGAGGATCTGCTCATCTGACTCGTGCTCCTCTCCAGGGTACACCTCCTTGAGAACAGTGTCCTTCAGAGGAGTGGACTTGGCGATTTCTCGAAGACGGCGGAATAGCGCGACGGCAACCTCTTGGTCGGCCTTCTTGGTGAGGAAGTTAGGGTTGATAAGAGGAGCGTCGGTAGTCGAGTTCGTTCGAAGGGTGATATTGCCACGGGATAGAGGTGCGACCAAAGCGCCGTTAAGACTGGTGTACTTCTTTCCATCGGTGGGCTGCTGCAGGATAGGGAACGACCAGTCCTCGGAGTAGACGTTAAGAGGAATGATCTCCATCTCAGGCCAGTCATCAGGGAATGTCGCAAGATCTCTGAGAGTCTCATTGGAGAACTTGGATCGGTACTTCTCAGGAGCCTTCTCCCAACCCAAGAGCTCGACCTGGTTGGATGTCAGAGGACCGGCTTGCTGCTGAGCATAGGCATCAAGCGCGCCTTGGAAAATAGTGTCGTTGTTGATGGCCGCGCTGAGAGTGTCTTCAAGACCTTGTACTTCAAACGAGGGTCCGAAGAGAACGTGATCCCAGAGATTCTGACCAACTCCAGGAAGGTCCGCAACTACAGGAATGTCAAGCTCTTCCAGGTGCTGCTTGGGTCCAATACCAGATACCATGAGAACCTGAGGTGACTGGAAAGCTCCACTGCTGACGATGACCTCCTTCTTAGCCTTGAGAGTGTAGTCAATACCAACAGAGCTGACCTCAACACCAGTAGCCTTCTTGGCATCATCGAAGGTCACCTTCTTGGCAAGACTCTCAGTATACACCTTGAGAGTCTTGAGCTTCTCACTTCGAGCAGTCTTGACAAAGTCGTCGGAAGCACTGCGGGTAGCGGTCTTGGGTTGAACTGTTGTTGTGGTGTATGAGTAGCCGAGAAGACTACCGCTGCTGAAACCATCGATACCCTTGAATCCAAGGGACTTGAGTCCCTTTTCCACGAGAACAGCCCAGGAGGGGACATAGTTGGCGTAGCTGATTTGGAGAGGGCCCTTCTCTTTAGAGAATGCGGAAGCGTCGTAGTCGGTTGTCACGTTGCGCTTCTCATTGTCTGGTGGTGTGAATGAGGGACTCTTCTGGAAGTGAGGCAGCATTTCCTCCCATCTGTTCCATTGTTAGTGATATTCTGACTACTTGTTCGGGTTGTTACTCACGTATAGCTATCATCTCCGACGTCCTCGGCCCACCTGGCCATGGTACCGTTCGTTGGTCGGTGATATACCAGAAAGTTAAGTTGAGATGAGCCACCAAGAACTTTTCCACGAGCATAGTGAATTTCGCGATTGTCAGCGCCTGTTTGCGCTGTAGTCGTGAATCTCCAATCGCGAAGAGGGTTAGAGTCGAGAAGACTAGCACCACTGCCGGCCGTCACTCCACCAGGCGATGTCGCAAGAATAGGCTTGGAAATCTCGAGGAAAGGGCCAGCTTCAACAATAGCGACACTGTAACCAGCTTTTGCAAGTCTGTAGCCAATGGTGTTTCCCGCTGTGCCTCCTCCTACGACAACATAGTCGTATTCGGCGTCGACACCCGGAATGCCACCGAGCTCGCCAAGATGTCCAACCTTGAGTCCATCACCAGCATAAGCAGACTTGACGATGTGTTGCAAGGGGTCGAGAAGTGTACTGATGAAAGGAACCTCGGGACGAGCAGTGACACTGGTCGAAAGGCTGAGCGCCAAGAGTGAAGGTGACAAGACGTTGCAGCGCATGATGACAGACGATCTGGACAAGAAGGTTTGTGTGCAGATCTCAGACATGAGGAGGGATTGATGCTACTCTTATATCTACTCCTACTAGGGTTCACTAGCTGCCTGTCAAAAACATCAAGCATTTACCTAGTAGCCCAATGTCATATCACCGCGGACGTTACACCGTCCCGCAATCATTTTTGGTACCAAAGTCCGTGCTGACCCGCGGCGTTGACGCTACTAGTCAACTAAAGTGAAGGATCTGAATAAATTCGGAGGGTTTCTGAGTCAGCGGTGATAAGAAGACGAGATAAATGTCTCAGCTCAGGGCCCTGGGATATGCGGTGATGGACCAGGGTTATTTGTCATGTCAATGCGTAAAAGGAGGGTCAGGAAGCTGCCACGACAGGCAGTGCACTGCAATAGATTCACAATAGTTAAAGATAGTCGAGAATAAAGGGTACTAATGGGGAATGGAACACGTTTTGGTCAAACTAAGCTTGTTATCCGGTCCTTTAGAGTTTCAACAAAGTGGGCGAGGAGTCCACTAGAAGCTATGCAAGCAACGTTTTTGAGCAATAACAAGGATTCATGTTGCAGTTCGACCTTGGCACGTCGAATTAAATTGCCTAGTCACAAGCCTTATGCAGCGGCAGAGCCCGTCTCGTTCAGCTTGCATATATCACTCGGGCTAAGAGCCTGGGGTCGTTCCGCGTCGTTCCACTGATCACCAGTGATTGCAAAGCACAGACTGCCGATCCCTTCTCTGAAGAATCACCATGCATTGTGATAAACGCAGCAGTTCACGTGCGATAAATCATCTGTGCGTGCGTAACCGTTCATCCGGTTTTTTCGAGATGGTTGATTTCATATTCGGAGACTTACATGTCATATGATGGAATGATAGGATCGGTCAGCCTGTTGTAAACCCCCGGCTTATGCGCTGAGGATCCGGAACCGTACTACCAAATGCCGTAACGCCGATCCTCCTTGGCGCAAGGACCACTAAGCCTGAAGAGTTGGTCTTGCGAAGAGGAAATCCAGTTTTTGAGGGCCTTCCGGACTCTTCCCCGTTGCCGAACCCTCTGCCGCGTGGGTTCCTCGGGAGCCAAATGTCGGGGAATAAAGGTGTGCCGCCTGAGCGAGTCATGTGTATAGTCGGGGCTTCTAAGACTCCATGCATGTCTTGGACAATATCATTTCTCATCAGAATTCACATGTTGGCGCTGTAGGGCGCATTTGACAGTTCGTAAGATATAATGACCGCGATTCGATAGATAACGCCAGAAGGGGACCAGCCACTTGGTTCTGGAATGAACGCCACTCAGCGGATCTACCTATTTCAAGGCATAAGCTACATGTCCCGTGATTTCGGGTAACCTCCAAAAAAGACCATCACATGTAGAACTTCTAAGAAATAGCATCCCGAAATTGATTCAGTCAATAAGGGTTGACCAAGTCTTGTTTTCGACGAACAAGAAACGAACAGCATCTCCCCAGTGATCGAGTCCTAACGCGCAAACGGGTAATTTCTTACTCATATAATAAGAACAACACGATTCTTATGCTCTTTTTGATATCGGCTACCTTCGATGCCAGGTGGTATGACGTTGGCAACTCGAATGATGATGAGAGTTGAGAACCATTAACACAGAATTAATTTGGCACAAAAGATCGTGCTCCTCAAACCAATATGAGGGCCCAGTATAAAATATGCATGAAGTTAATATCGGATCCATGGTAAAAGGGGTTCCGGGGTAGCACGTTTTGAGTATATTAATAGCTCAATATCGCATGTTTTATAAGCCTATGGCTTCATCATCATAATTCAGCAGAGTATACCCTATAGAAGAATAGCATAACCGCCTGACAAAGTATAGTCAACTGAAATCTATTTAATTCGTCTTTGTTATTTTCACACTCATTCGCCATTAACCTCCGAATCGATATTCTAGACAAATGATACCCTGGGTATACGCTCAATCTATTCCGTACTGGGGCAGTACTCAGTAGAATGTAGCGGGGGAATGGACAAAGGTTTCCAGCATCAAATCTGCACGAAATTTCCTACCACTTCTTCCTGGTTCCGCTATTATTCTCTCAAGCTGGTGATCAATAAAAACTCGTTTCCGAGGCAGTATTCTCCTCTTTCTTTTTTGCCTTTTCAGAGCGGGATAGCGATTGCTGGGCTGCAATTACTATGTACCATATGCGAATAACAACAACGAATGAGAATACAATCCCGTCGGAAACAGACAAGGATCCTACTCGGGGGCCATCCGTCGACTTTCCGGTCTTCATGCCTATTGGCCGTTCAAGTCACATTCTCAACATCTCCGCTCGTCAACGCTCGTCAACAACTGACCCTTTTCCGAAGCACGAGTCGTGGGCTCGGGTATCGGCACAATAATTCGTTCAACTGTTTTCACAGTCGCAAAGTGACAGCTGCAGCCTGCCTTTATGCTATCAAAATCACATCATCAGTCCTGATTTCTATCAATTGTGAGATCAATCCCACGTTCAGAAGAACATCAGTGAGGATATTTCGGATAACGCCAAGAATGCGTGTGCTCGGTGTGCAGAAGTGCAGACCGTTCGTGGAGTTCCCCCTCATGCTAACGGATTTATCGCGGGCTTACGACAACCTCGGTGACATTACCGTGTTGGGATCAGCAAACCCATTGGTCGAGGGAGAATAACTGCACATGAGGCATGCTTGGCATAAATCATGTCGAAGTGGACAGAGAAGGTCCGTGATAAAAAGCCGCTACTTAATTTTGACCCCAAAACAAAAGATCGAGCTACTGTCTAAATCGTTGTAACAAACGAAGACTTTGCTTGACATCTCGTGATGGCATCAAGGAAGCCTATTGTTCTCCGCATTGGCGAAGACATCAAGTATAATCACGACTTTTACAACAATGTCTTTACCAAGCGATTTGACGTTGTCGCGAACGAAGAACCTGATAGAGAATCATTCATCAAGGCATTAAAAGAGAACAAGTGAGTCTTGCAGAACGCTCGTGGCCCACTGTTTGAAGAAATGCTAATAACTTGACAGATATGGCCAGTTCTCGGCGATATATCGTCCACATTTCCAAACTGGTGGTGAGATGGGCCAATGGGATGAAGAACTCATATCCCTTCTGCCACCCTCAGTACGGATATTTGCGTCAGCTGGTGCTGGTTTCAACTGGGCTGATGTCGATGCCCTCGGTCACCGCCGCATCTGGTACGCCAATGGTGCCGGCGCCAGTGATGAAGCCGTATCCGATACTGCTCTGTTCATGATCCTATCGGTATTCCGAAACTTCTGGCTTTCACAGCGCGGTGCGCGTACTTGTGATCCAGCGGAGTTCCAAAGGATGCACAAACTGATCGCAACCATTTCTTACAACCCTCGAGGTCATGTCCTCGGTATTGTTGGTCTTGGTAACATCAGCAAACTGGTTGCCCGTAAAGCAGGTTTGGCTCTGGGCATGAAGATTCACTATTATGATGTGGTTCGCTCGCCGCCAGAAGTGGAGGAGGAACTTCAAGCGACATATCATTCATCTCTCCACGAGCTACTGGGCATCGCTGATTGCATTACCCTACATACCCCGCTCAACGCTCTTACTCAAGATCTCATCAACAAAGAAGCATTTGCCGCCATGAAAGATGGCGCGAGACTAGTGAACACAGCTCGAGGGCAGATCGTTAATGAAAATGCGTTGATTGAAGCCCTCAAGAGTGGTAAGATCTCGGCTGCGGGCCTAGATGTTCATTACCACGAACCTCAAGTCTCAAAAGAACTTGCAGCTATGGATAACGTCACGCTAACTTGCCATAACGGAGGAGCTGCTATTACGACTAGAATTAATTTCGAGCTAATGGCCATGGAAAATATTCTAAGGGTAGTGGATGAGAATGGGGAGTTTTGTGGCGAGCCGACTACGGCAGTGAACCGTAAGGCCTTTGAGCAGGCTTCTTCGTAAGCTTGTTTAAATATTACAATCATCACAATAATACGTTTCTTGATTGTCATTGTTCATATACCATTGAGATTGATTCCTTGCCCTTTATGCAACTGTCTGAACACGCAAATCCGAATCAACTGACCAATGCCATCGGAGTTCATCTGTCTAGGATGACAGACACCACAAGGCATTCTAATACAAATCTTTAGATAGGCCTCGAACCACTGCTGTCGAGACTATTGTGGACTTAAGGGAGTGGCGGTGGGCGTATTCCCGGAAGCATACAGCCTTCCTGCCCGGACATCAACCCGTCTAGCAACCTGGACTTCCGTTCGATAAATCGGTCATCCATCCGACTGGCGGATCAACCACTATAACCGAGCTTGTAGCCCTGTCAAGAAAGGATCAGCCCATGGGCATGGTTATCCGCTACCCCAGGTTTACCCCAGGTCTACCCCGCAGAGACAAGAGCTTCGATCCAATGCGATGGGTTCGGTTACGAGGATATATAAGTGACTGAGAACTTATCATCAAGTCGCACTTCATTTGGTCATAGCTCTTTCATAGGTGAGCTTTTAAAGATGTTCAACAAAGTGACCGAGTTCTTCAGGCCAAAGGCCACTAGAACCTTACACTATGCTCATCTCAAAAACAACACAGATCCAACGTGGTACAAGGACTCCGGTCTGCGTAAGAATGTCTGGCACTGCGTCGGCTTCTACTTTGCGGTCTTCTACCTTGGCTTCGACGCCTCCCTCATGAATGGTCTCCAGGCGATCCCCCAATGGGAAGAATACTTCAACTATCCATCTGGAAACACTCTAGGTCTGATCTCGGCCAGTCTGTTTCTCCCAGCGATCATCACTCCCTTCGCAGCGTCGTGGATCAATGGACTTTGGGGAAGAAAGTGGTGTTTGGCTGTTGGTTCAGTGCTGTTGATCCTCGGTGCATTCCTTAACGCTTTTGCGAAGAATATCGGAACATTTATTGGTGGAAGAGTCATTATTGGTGCAGCTGGACCTTTCGGAAAGATCACCGGTATTGCACTGCTTCAGGAACTGGCGCATCCTCGTCTGAGACCATATGTTGCGACGGCGTATTACAGCAACTATTATGTCGGCCAGATCGTTGCTGCGTGGTTTTGCTATGGCACACTGTCTTGGCCAGATACCGAGTGGAGATGGCGAGCACCCTGTCTGTTCCAAGCCTTTGCCCCAGCCGTTGTCCTTGTTCATCTACTCTTCGTGCCGGAAAGCCCTCGATGGCTCATCGACCACGACCGATCCGAAGAAGCCCTCAAAGTTCTTGCCGACGAACATGCCAACGGCGATCTCAACGACGAGTTAGTTCGATACGAGTTCGACGAAATCTGCCAAGCTTTACAGTTGGAGAAAGAGAGCAACAACTCCAAATACAGCGACTTTCTCAAGACTCCAGGTAACCGACGCCGACTCCTTGTTCTTGTGACCATGGGCACAGGTTCCAACTGGGTTGGCAATGGCATCATCGCTTATTACTTGTCACCAGCCCTCAAGCTCGTTGGCATCACTTCATCCAGCGCGATCGCGGGCATCAACGGCGGCATGGCAATCTGGTCTCTTATGTGGGCTTATGCAGGAGCCATGAGTGCTGAACGCCTTGGTAGACGCACGCTTTGGATCACAGGCACGGCTGGCATGTGTGTCGCTTATACAATCATCACTGGCCTCAGCGGCTCCTTTGCCGAGAACCCATCACGTGGCGTCGGTATTGCTGTGGTGCCGATGATGTACCTCTTCAAAACTTTCTATTGCATCAGTTGGTCGCCACTACCGTTTGCTTATGGCGCTGAGATCCTGCCGTATAATCTGAGATTGAAGGGTCTGAGTATCGAATTAAGTGTTCAGAGTGTTGCGCTGGCTTTCAATCAATGGGTTAATCCTGTTGCACTTGAGGCGATTGCATGGAAATAGTAAGTCATTTGAGAACGTGCCTATATAAGCCTTGCTAACCTGAGATAGCTACATCGTTTATATTGCGGTCATCGCTATGTATCTTGTTCTTATCCTATTCTTCTTCCCAGAGACAAGGTATGTTCCTATTTACTGTTGCCCTTGAATGCCGCTGACAATCTCAGAAATATGACAATTGAGGAGGTGTCCGTCCTCTTTGACACAGGAAGAAAAGGCGATGCAGCGGCGGCTACTAGCAAGTTTCATAATAACCAGTCAAAGATGGACGATATGCTTGATGATGGAGATGATGCCGATAAAGAACCCACTGTTTCGCGAGTAGAGAGAGCGTAATCGGGCTGGCGAAAGCCATCATAAATGACGATTAGAATGAATATTGATAGCCCCTAGCAGAGTCACCTTGCTTCGACCCCGATAAGCACCATTCGCTTTGATCATCAACAGTATACGATATAATATCTCAATATCTCTCAGGTTGGTGGCTTTCCAGTATATCCTTCAGGATTAAATCGTTGATCGCTTATAACATGGGCAAAGGAGGTAGTCAAAGGTAGGCAGAACTAAGTCACGATACATGTTAGCTCATGCGGCACAGTTGCAGTTGGTGATCAAATATGGGGAGGTTGGGGATAGCAATGGGAATAACTCAACAGCGATGATCAGAAACAAAACTCAACACAAGCAGTACTCCGTGATGAATCCGGACAAGCTCATGACCTACCCCTCAACTTATATCAGTGTCATAGTATTGCACTTAGCATCAAGCGCTATTGTCCACGGGATCAATCGTTTCGTCATCAAGCATACAAAGTAAGCTTCCCCAATCATGATCCCTGTCAGAAAAGCTGCAAGGCCCTCAATCCGCCATTCCCGTGTGAATCTCTAAGCGAGCCAAGATAACGACTCTCGTATAATGCAGCAGGCGTCATGGAATGGGATGCATTGGTGGCACACTCTGCGCTGGTCACCGGCATTAATGTCTGCCGGAATAAAAAGACACCAATGAGCTTATACCACGAGATCTTACTTGCATCAAATAGCGTTCCGACCTGCATTATGATTCTTATGAGAGTTGTTAAGATGATGTCAAGGGAGAGAGATGGCAATTGTTGGCGAGGCTATTTATTTGGCTAATGTTCTCATTCGACGCCACTTTCTGGGTTCCCGAGGCTCTATCGTGCAGTCAACATCTCAACACCATCTCGGAACCCAGCTGACTTCAGCCTTATTCGAAATGCATTCTGCGATTTGGAATACACTTACCTTTTTGGCGGTGCTTATGGCAACGTCCATTTCACCGGCCGTTGCTCTTCCCAACATCCGAGTTCTGCCATTAGGCGACTCCATCACAAAAGGTACTGGCTCAACAGGCTTAGTTGGATACCGTCTCCCATTGCGACAAAAGATTTTAAAGCAAGGCGTCAAAGTCAACATGGTTGGTACACTGAAGAACGGCAACATGGTAGATGGACACCACGAGGGTCATAGTGGGAAAATGCTAGCCGACATCAATGGCTACTGGCAAAAGCCAATCCAGGCTCGTCCTAACGTCGTTCTCATCCACGCCGGCACAAACAACATGGACCAAGGAAAAGATCTCGATATCGCAGCATCCATTCTCGCAGATATCGTCGACGGGATCTTCAAAGTCGCACCAGATGTCACCATCTGTCTCGCACCAGTGATTTGGGCCAACGATAAGAAGATGCAAGCAAACACAGATAAATTCAATCCACAAGTACGGTCACTTATCTCAGCAAGGCAAAAGAAGGGAAAGCATATTCTTGAGGTGCCTATCGATATCAAAAAGGAAGATCTTGGCGATTCCAAACATCCGAATGATGATGGTTATGAGAAGATGGCGAATGCTTGGTTGAAGGCGATTTTAGAGGCTGATAAGAAGGGTTGGTTGAAGATGCCTATTAAGATGAGTCCTGAAGATGCACCGGGAACTGGGCTTGGAGCGTGAAATATGATGACGAGCAATGTATCGCAAGGACATAATGGTGACTGGGTAAGTGGATAACAGACACGCTTATTTCAAGCCGTAACTCTATCTGTACGGTATACGAAAATGGACACTGTTCTCTCATGAAAATACGTGATGATTGGTTCTGCGGAGTGGCCTGTGCTTGGCTGCGGAGCGGAGGTGCAGATAAATCCGGAGTTTAGCGTAAAAGCATAAACTCCGAAATTGTTATCACCAGACATGACATGGCGTCAGCCAGTTAGTTACATAAAAACACGGCCCACGACGCATTCATCCTTCAATCAATCACCTCAATCATCTCAAACATAAACATCATGGCAGCAAAGTCTCTCGTCGTCGGCGGAACAGGCGGTATCGGCTACGGCATCGCCTGTCGCCTCGCCGCCAACTCCCCCTCATCCACCGTCATCATCAGCGGTCGCACCGAGCCAAAGAACATTCCCCACTCAAACATCCAGTTCAAACAATTAGACGCGTCTTCGATGCGCGCCATCAAAACTTACACCGATGAACTGAAGGCATCGAAAGATCTGTTCAGTACCCTCGTTGTCTCGCAGGGCATTCTCACAACCGCTGGAAGAACAGAGACGCCTGAAGGCATCGATCGCAAGATGGCGCTTCATTACTACGGACGACAACTTCTCATTCGCGAACTTCTCCCATCTCTGACAGATGACGCCAAGGTTTTGATTGTGCTTGATAGCACCGGTGGAAGTCCTGATAAACTCAATTGGGATGATCTTGATCTCAAGAACAACTTCAGCCTCGGAAACGCAGCGGCTCACTGTTTGTCTATGACAGACGCCATGATCCAGAACTACGCAGCTGAGCAAAAAGCTGAGGGAAAGAATCGACATTTCATTCATGCGCTACCAGGTCTTGTCAATACGAACATCATGCACGGGCTCCCTTGGTATATGCGTCTCCCGTCAATTGGTCTAGCTTCTCTCGCGGGTGTTTCGCCTGACACCTGTGCTGAGTACATGCTGAACGGCGTGGATGAAGCCGTCAAGATCAAGGACAAGAATTACGCATTTGTGAGTCGGAAGGGCAAGGTTTTCGAGAAGCCGGCTTGGAGTGAGGAGCAGATCCGGAAAGTGAGAGATCATACCTGGCAGATTGTGGATGGCGCATTGGCGAAGGCTTAATTATGACAACATGGGTTTTGGGAGTTGTGTCTGCATGTCTTTTATTTGTATTATAGGTCATACCAATTTGAACGACTTGTGTTTGTTGTGAATCGCAAAGGTAGCTGCTTCAGATTCCATAAAAAGAAACCAAATCGCTGACAATGACAAAAGGGTAGGTAAGCTATGCGTCCTAGAGACAAATATGGATTGACACGTTTTAGTTACTCCAAAGACAAAAATGAAAGTTCAATAACTTGCCCCGTACTGGAATCGAACCAGTGATCTTATCATTTGTGGTAGTTTACTAGTGATACGCTTTACCACTGAGCCAACGGGGCTTTGTGTTATTGGTTGAGATCCCCCTCCGCTGGCACGCCTCATGGACGCGATTCTACGGCATGCAGCGTAATTCACACTCAAGATTCATTGTTTTTATTCTAAGTTGCTTGAAGTGAAGGGATAAGAATTATTCTATGTAGACGTCGTTTTGCTCAATATCATTCTTATTTAAACCTTGGCGACTACAACGTAAACTGTAGCTAGGTCATGTTTGTGTAGAGTTTAGTGACGGTCAGACAGCAACATCTTTTCCTCAATGTACGTTGGATACTGGCAAGCAAAAACGTGAAAACTGTTCAATAGATGTATAGACTGGCCTTTATGAACTTATAGACAATTTGTTTATCTATGTATTATAACACGTGTGCTTATGACGGCGCTGTAGCATAAACGCAAGTGCTGTCTTTATAGGCATAGGGTAGTGAGGACTGCAACGGCTAACTACGCGGCAATGCGATTCGGTTCTCGACCCAATGCATTGACACAAAAGATCTGTGTTCCAATTAGATAACATCTTACAAATGACTATCTGTTATTTTTCACGATATAGATTTTTTTCTGAGATGACTCTCGAGCGAACCCTCGTCGCCATGCATCATCTAGATCGAGAGCTTGAGCCATTAAAATCACAAGCAACACCTTCGGCAGACAGTGGAGCCCACCGCGGAACAATGGCTCGATCTCTGCAGATTGATACGCATCTTCCGCGAGATCCTTGCCTCGTCATCTTATCAATCAGTGCATCACCGACCTCGGATCAGTTGCCAAGCCGGTTATCACGGCTCGGTTCATCCATCATTGGCTCCGAGAGACGAGCTTCCCTTTTAGGTCATGGGCCCGCATCCAAGGGTCGTTTAGTCTGCAGATCTTGCTATTAGAGCACTAACACGTTAGCACGTAATCTAGGTGGGTACATGTTAATCAATTATTATCGGGTGATAATCAACTCATCGCCAAAAATGCATCTGCACAAACATGAAAATTCTTGCAGGTCCATCGCCATCCATTGGACTAACCCATGCATCAACCCTCACAACCGTTTGTCATAGCGTGGGGAGCACTCGCCATCATCACCGGCTCAAGCACCAATTTTGCATCCCTGGGAAAGCCTGCCCACGGAGCTTTCTCAGTGCGAATGACGAGTAGAGAGAGGCTTTTTATATGCTTAATACCTCAGATCCTCCTCTTTCCACGATGTCTCCTCCCTCATCTCACGCATCGCCAGGGGAGCTACGACCACTGCTGCAGAACATGGATATCGACAAGAAAAACCCCGATATAGAAGCTGGCAGGGAGTCGCCCACCATCGAACCAACACTGGCGACCAACAACGTCGATGCTAAGTCTAACGATTACGAGAACCGAAATGTCGGTACTTTGAACCGCAGGCTCAAGTCTAGGCATGTCCAGTTCCTTGCTTTGTCTGGTGCTATTGGCACGGGCCTTTTTGTTGGTAGTGGTCAGGTTCTGTCACTTGCTGGACCCCTCTCGGCATTTTTGGCGTACACTATCACGGGCTTCAACATCTACTGTGTGTTGAATAGTGTTGGTGAGATGGCATCATGGCTACCCATCCCCGGCCCCGTCCCTATCTTTGCAGCCCGCTTCGTTGACCCTGCTCTTGGTTTTGCCCTGGCTTGGAACTATTGGTACCAATTTGCTATTGGTGTTCCGATTGAGGTCACTGTCTCGGCGGTCATCGTCAATTACTGGCATCATAACATCCCCCAAGTCGCATTGATCACACTCTTCTACTTCACCATGGTCATTCTCAACTGCCTGCCTGTTCGTATATACGGAGAAGCCGAGTTTGTCTTCGGAGCTATCAAGTTATTGACTATCGTCGGTCTTATCATCCTCATGTTCATCATCACTGTCGGCGGTGGTCCAAGTGGAGAGGCAATCGGCTTCCGCTATTGGCATCATCCCGGTCCCATGAATGAGTACCTCAAAGATGGTGCTCTCGGTCGATTCCTCGCCTTTGTCAAGGTCTTCATCACTGCGACGTTCTCCTACGGTGGTAGCGAAATGGTTGTCATGGCATCCGGCGAAACTGAGAACCCTCGCCGCAACATTCCCAAGGCCATACGTCGTGTCTTTTGGAGAATCGCCATCTTCTATGTCCTATCTATCTTCCTCGTTGGTCTTTGCGTCTCATCCAAAGACCCCAACCTTCTCAACGCCATCAACAAGTCTGCTCCCGGCGCCGCCCAAAGTCCTTTCGTCATTGCCATCCGCAATAGCGGCATCAAGATTCTTCCATCAATCATCAACGCAGTCATCCTTACATCGGCTTGGTCTTCCGGCAATTCTCTCTTCTACGCCGCCACGCGAGTACTTTATGCCGCTGCGCTCGATGGTAAAGCACCTCGCATTCTGACCTGGGAAAGATTCGGTGTTCCGTATCTCTGTGTTGGTGTCACCACTATCTTTGGGCTACTCGTGTATCTCAACGTTAGCAATAGCGGCTCCGAGGTCTTTTTCTGGTTAAGCAACCTCAGCGGTGTCGGAGCGCTCATCATTTGGGCGAGTGTCTCCTTCACTTACCTCCGCTTCTACTACTGCCTCAGCCACCATGGTATCGACCGGAATACTCTGCCATTTAAATCACCTTTCCAACCATTCCTGGCCTACTTCTCCTTCTGCTTCTGTACCATCGTCGCAGTATTCAACGGCTTCGATGCCTTCTTCCCAGGGCGTTTCAGCGCAAAGACATTCCTGCCCCCATACATCAACATTCCCATTTTTCTTGTGTTGATCTTCGGATACAAGTGGATCAAGAATTCTAAGTATGTCAAGTACTCTGAGATGGATATTTGGTCTGGCAAAGCAGAGATTGATCGCCTGGAACACACTTGGCCGATTGTCCAACCAAGAAACTGGCTTGAGCGTATATGGTTCTGGATTGCTTGAGAGCCTCGTTATAAGTTATGAAAAATGGCGGTCGTTTGTTTTGTAGTAGTGCTCTGGATGTACGAAAAGTTTAGACCGATGCTTATGATAAATTTGAACTAAGTTTACTGGAGCTTCTACACCAGCACAGGACATACTCGAGCGCTGCATTTAAGTATGAGGAAGTAAAATATTTCTCTTCTACCGTGATAGCAACCAAACAGCAGCCGGCCGAGCTTAAACTCCATTGGAGAACTCCATACAACGACTGAAACTGTCTCTCAACTTACCTTATGTGCCACTAGTCGTAGAAATGTACATAGATTGATCAGTTTCTTAGGAGAGTGTGCGCGTTCCATGCAACCTTGGGTCCACGTTTGACACGTTCGTAGTGATGCTCCTGAATAAGTACCTTGACGTTCCTCGCAACTGAGCCACGGACTTGAAGTCGAGGTCTCAAGGAGTCAAGCGATAGGAAGTAGGCTGCCAATCCAGCAACGGCGGGTGTAGCTATGAATGTCAGTCGAGCCCTAGCCGATAGAGGATGATAACTTACAGAATGATGTTCCAGTTGGCTCTTCGCCGGCCTGGTAAGCTGATGTGCCGCTCATAGCAGCGCACTTGACGGCGACTCCAGGTGCAGTGGTCGTCACGAGAGGACCGCCTTGGGAGAAGAAAGCAAGTTTCCCTTCGTTATCGACAGCTCCAGTAACAATGATAGGAGTTCGGTCGGCGAAAAGCGATGGGTATGAGTGGACATCAATATTACTCTGACCATTGTTAGTGTACAAATCACGGTTAGCATACTGCCCATGAACTTACGCCCTCATTTCCCGAAGAGCTGACGACAACAACATCAAGAGCCTCCAAGTTCTTCAAGAGACTCAACAGGACGACTCCGAAATACGATTCTCCACGATCGATACGCCAAGCAATCGCTATCATATTAGCAGTGAGCGCAGCCTTGAGTGTATGCCGGGAACTTACTAGCTTTTGAGTAGCTTACAACAGCCTTTCCTTGCAGTCTATTTTGCTGAACATCCAAGATGACTGCCTGCCAGGCCTTGAGCATGGACCAAGAAGTTAACTGGAGCTTGACAGCAACAAGATCCGCTCTCGGCGCAACTCCAACCGTGCTGCCAAGTGCCTTGGATGCGCAGCAGGAGCCGTGGCCGTCGGGGTCATTCTCACCGGAGACGCCCCTGGAGAAGATCCACCTTTTCCTGCCAGGAGATGAAGTGAATTCCTGTGTCGAAGCTAGTCAGTCGTGTAATCACATAGTCAAGCTGGCGGCGGCTTACCTTGTGTCTGAGGTTGAAGCCTTCATCCAGGACATAGATAGTGACGCCTTGGCCGGCTTTCTCATCATAAGTGTAGCCAGAAGGCTTTTTTCCCGGAGCAGTGGAGAACATCTGAAGCTCAGGCTGAGCCTTCTTGTCGGTCTTGAAAGCACGTTTGGTAATGCCGGATGGCTTCGCCGGGCTCTTCAGTGGTGCATCAGGAGCAACTGATCCGATCTTGTTTACCCCGTTAATGTTGACCTCTGATTAGTGATACTGTACTTACAATACTGTTTTTGTTAATAGCAGCAACCTGGCTTGCGCTCAGTGTGGCGTACCAAGCTAGAAGCTTGCCGTTCATATTGGTGAGAGTGTCCAGTTTAGTCTTGCCGGCCTGCGACTGAAGGCTTTTGGTGAATGCTTCGATATCTTTCTTGACTGCATTGGCTTTTGGGTAGATAAGGTAGTTGGAAGAGCCACCAACAGCTCGGCCCTCAATGGTTGATGAGTCCAAACTTGGCTCGAGACTTGCATCTCTCGCTACCAACTCGTAGTCCGCCACCGGAGATGTAGCAGCTGAAGTGACTAGGGCTAGGCCTATGAACTTGAAAAGAGTGAATTTCATGTTGATATTAAGTAAAGAGCGTATGGTAAGGAGTGAATGTGAAATGAATATGTTGTAGTTGTTAATTGAGAAGACATCCTGATGGTGTTATATAGATCTTCTGATCAGCAACTGCCGATATCAGATCTCGAATCCATTGCAAACGCATAAACTGGTCGAGTTCTAGACTCATGAGATCCAGGAATAGATTTGCCGACCACTATGGGAAGTAGAGTTTTGAGGCTATCCTAGCTGAAGTCGTCAGCGTTCACTTGGAGTCGACGCTTGGAAGCGCATTTACAGTTTTTGACAAGATCCCTGCCTCCGATCTGGTTGGACTGCGAAGATCCTCTGGCAGAATTTAAGGTTTCTCCTTAATATCGATCGAAACGGGTCAATCCACTGTTCCTATATTGAGGCTATAGCTGGTAGACAAGTTGCTTTCCAAAGTAGTTAGATCCTCAACTAACATCAATCCGCCTACTTTGATCTGAGACTGGTCGTGGTTCAATATGTGATCAATGCATATCTGGAAGCCCCGGGACTGAAGACACTGCTTCTAGAAAGTGATATTCGCCAACCTGTTTCTGAAACAAAGTCTGAAATTATCGGTCCGACGCCAAAAGTCTGTCCTTTGGACCTTCACAGTTCAGCAGTGGCACATTATTGGACAGGATGACGGCAATTTCCGTACACTGTTATGCTTTGGAGATAGAAGTGGAAACTCGTAAGACCCTGGCTACTGGAGGAACTAAAACCCAGGATATCGATTCTAAGCGACAAAAAGACTTGGGTAAGTACGTCGAAAATTTAGGATACCTTTTGCTGATTTAATTTGGACACCCTATATCAAGATCTGATATTTTCTTGCTACCTAAACCCGAGGAGAAAAGAAGAACTGCCCATCTTCGTTGATATTCGGCAGAAGCCTCTTTCATCTATCCGGATGTGAAACAGTCTTCCACCAATAACAAGTCCTGGCGCCATGCTCAACACTCTTGCTCTCAGTATGTAGTTAGAGGTGAGCACTAAATAAAGTCATAGACTGTCATGTTATACGGTTCCAATCCTGAGAACAAGTCTAGTCTAGTTCCACCCCGAGTAACAACCATTGTTTCTGCTACTCTCGACATCCTTCTCACCCCTCTCACTTTTCGCCTCCTTAACCAGCCTATCCCTCCAAACCTGGACATCCTTCTGCACGACCCAACGCAACAATGCAATGGTAGGTAGCATAGCGACGTACTAATAGATATTAAAAAGAGTCTAGCTAGCTGATAACTCATTGTTAATGGACAGAATAGATGCCGCTACGGTGCAAGGCACAGAGACTGTGGCGATCTTTGCGAGCTGCCCAGGGATAGCTGTACTATTAGCTGCTGCAGCCTTCTCGTTGGCATCTTTTGTCTGTGTGCAAGAATCGTATGCTTGGATCATTGCTGCGAATGATTTATTCATTGCTGCTCGTTAGGCCTACCTCGTCATGTTATCAGAGATAAGCTCATCCAGGACCTTCATGTGATCTTGAAGATGGCTCCAGCGTCGTGACTCTTGTGAGATTTGGATGCGGGATCTTTCAATGGTCTATGAGGCTAAGTGGCGAGCATCATCGCAGCGGAAGACCGCATACTTTGCGTTTCCACGAGCAACGATGTCCACAAGGTCTGGTTGATGGCTTGATATGTCTCGTTGGGATATCATAAGCTTGAACTATCAATCAACAATGTCTGGTTGAGATTCTAGTTGGCTACGGGCCTATAAGGTTAACCTTTAGGCTACAAGCACATGTGATAAATGAGAAAAGGATATTATTTTCTCCAATATAAGCTTTTCCCCAGAAGCTTTTCTTGCAGATATAAATTAAGCCAGATTTCCCTTCTCCAAAAAGTTTTTCAATTCACCTTCCTCTTCCAGCAATCTCTCATACCAACTCAACCATGCATCTTCTCAACTTGTTCATCGCCGTGTTGGCGCCAGCGACTCTCATCGATGGCCTTCCCACCCAAGACACACATGAACAAAGCAACATCGCCACCCGAAACAACACTTTCGTGTCACATGTTCGTGTCAAGCGTGATGTTCCGCTGACCGCTCGAGACATCGAAGAAGCTGATCAACATGGCGTAGATCTCAACAAGAGTAAGTCATACCGAGACGAGCCGTACATGAGCTTCCCCTCTTTGAGGGGGCTTAATGTGCTTTTGACTCTGTTTATTTGCGCCACGTGTGACTTTATCAGTGGGTATACTGCTAATAAGCTTACCGATCAAGTGATCAAAAAAGCATACTATTCTGATTTTAATTGAGACTTATCTTTATTAAGGCTATATACATATTACCTTCCAAAAGATAAAGCTAATTACATTGGCTTGATATTTCTCGTTAAGATGTCATAAGCTTTAAGTATCAATCAACCGTACATGAGCCTTGACTGACCCTGAGCGTTTTTAGTGTACAAACACTCCATCCTAAAGCACTCTAATGGCAGTGAATACTCTATCTGGGTCCATAACTCATTCGACCCTGATGTCAAGGATGACGAAAAGAGTGCAGATGACGTCTCCGATTTGGGGAAGCGAAGCTGGGAGGAGCAAGCATACGCGAAAGACAGAATGCCCAACAGGTTCGAATTTGATGACCACACGGATACATGCGCAAAATCAGACTTCAAAAAGAAAACAAACAATCGCTCGCCATTCGCGAACGGAGCTGATGCCCTTATTGACTGGACTGTGAAACATAAGGGTGGCTGGAGAATTGGAGCTACGGACTCTTACTACAGCACCGATATTCTGATCGGGGGCACCAACATGGGTGCCAATATGAGGTTCTCAGTCCGAAAGGAACCCGGGCGTATTGTTATTCTGGGGACGAAGGATGTCGGGGACGCCGTAGTTGGGGCCTACAACAAATTCAAGCAGGATATCAAGGGTGTGGCGCGTATGGCTGGCAAGGGAAAGATGAAATGCTGGGATGGGAACAACGGCAAGAACATGCTTCATTGGGAAATTGACCGAAGTGATCGGGAGATCGAGTTCGAAAGTGCGACAAAGGAACAACCAAACCCTAAGCCAACACAGCAGCACCAGGAGCCAGAGTACCAGCCAGAAGCCGCTCCCAAGACAGTCTACTATCCCGTCCCCGTTTCCCTACAGACAATTTACCCTCCCCCTCCGTTTCGACCGCCACTTTACACTCCTGCACAAGCGCCGGGTCCAGAGCCAACAACAGCACCAAAATCACCACCACTGGTATATCCAGCACCACAATCACCACCTCTGGTATATCCAGCACCAAAATCATCACTATCAGTATCGCCAGCAACAATAACTAAAGTATCGCAGTCAATCTCACCGGGAGTATATCAACCAGGAGAGGGTCCTACAGGATTTCCTGAGTCATTCTTTATAGATTAACTGCAACCTAAAGGTTAACCTTATAGGTCGCAATCATCCCGTAGTTATAATAACATACAATAATAATAATTTTTATTATTGTATTACTAGTATCTATGTCTTATATTACTATATATAGATATGGGATTTTAATTAATTATATTCCTTTTTTTACTTAATTGATTTTTAGCCTAACTATACACCGTATTCTCCCTACGCAGTAAAGGCTCAATCTTTAGCAGTAGATCCAATTTCAGTCAGGGTCCTTTTGATTCCTGACATTTTATGCATATGCGCCAGTAAAATAGACGAATCTGATCTCCAAAGTCCATAATTCAGCATGTAACAAACATAACATGGTCCCATTTTACACAAAGGAACCCCCATTGGCCCCAATGACCTGCCCAGACACCCAGGAACTGGTTGGACCAGCAAGAAAGGCAGCCAAAGCAGCAATTTCCTCAGGCTTCCCCAAGCGACCAAGAGGGCTAAAGCCGGCGATGGTATCGATAAGTTCCTGCGATTTTCCCTGGAAGAACATTTCTGTGGCTGTCGGACCAGGGGCGATGGCATTGACAGTGATGCCCTTGGGTCCGAGGTCTTTGGCGAGAATTCGTGTCATCTGCTCAACGGAGCCTTTCGAGGATGCATAAAGAAGATAGCGAGGCGCGACTTGAGATTGGTGAAGAACACCGCTTGACACGAGGATGACTCGGCCATCTCGTGGCATGTGCTTAACTGCTTTCTGATGGTTGTTAGTGGAACTGTGGCCAGACGAGCCAGAGCAGAAGACTTACTTGAACAAGGAAGTAAGGTCCCTTGACATTCAAATTAAAGGCCTTGTCGAAGTCTTCCTCTGTTGTGCTGTCCAGATCATTCATAGGGGCGCATGCAGCATTTGCCATTACGCAATCGATCTTGCCGAACTTCTCAACCGTCGCTTGCACAAGTTTCTCAATCTCAGAGATGTTCGAGACATCAGCTTTGAAAGCAAGAGCCCTCTCAGAACCTATTTTGCTGACAAGCTCTTCCGCGGGTTTGTTATCGCTGGAGTAGTTGATGACAACATTCGCACCGTCGGCTACAACACGCTCTACGACGGCTTTGCCTATTCCCTTGGAGCCGCCTGTGACCAGAACAACTTTTTTGTTAAGAGACATAGCGTTGTGTGGCAAGATTTGAGTGTAGTTGATGGATGGAAGTGATGGCAGGATAAGTCGTGTAAAACTTGGAGACCAAGGACGAGTGCTCAGATATATAGCAAAATGTTGTTACCAAGCACCTCGTCCTTTCAAACCTGTGGCATACCTGAAACTGGTTGCTGGCCAGGAAAGAATTAGGTGTCGGTGTAGAGATACCGGAGATACGAGGATTCGCCCATTTGCTCGTCGCCCTCGTCGCAAGTGTTAACAAAAACCGGACTGTCGCTCTTAGGTCAATGGTCGGACGGTCTGGAGGTAACGGCTTGACCCGCCTTGGGTCAGCACTAGCGCATGCAGGGACATTTAGTGTATATACTCGATGAGGAATAGCGTTCATGAAGAGGAAGCCTTACCGATGGTGATGACGCTTACATCTCTGAGATGGAACACAGGCTTCATGGAGTGACTCCGAAACTGCCGGGGGCGAGTGAGGACCATGCCTGGGTTTGCTTTCGTATTTGGCCGAACCGCTTGAATGGCAATCTCTTCATGCTATTGGTGGAGGAGCTGCTAATAGTCTTGTTGATTTATCCACATATAGTCCCAAGCATCGTCGACCATGTTGTCCTACCCCAATTCCAAGACATCTCGTCCGCGACATCTTTGACATCACGCCACGCCCTTCTGGCTGTAGCATCGCATGCGACAGAAGACCACAAGATGGGCACAAGTGATTCTTTCTTGACCATATCCCAATCCCTGATGTCCCCAGCGAGTCCGTGCTTCTGTTCTACCAAACCGAGGAATCCAACGAACCACTCTCTGAGCTGGGACCCAACCTGTTCCGTACAAAGGATCCCCAACATGCCGAGCCATATCAAGAGGTGAGACAATCCTAGATGGGTTGCTCGATCCTTATACAGGATGAGCTGTGCCTGTAACCTCTGCGCAGCATGATGGTAAGGGGGCGCGTAGGAGATTGGGCATGTGACGCCCAATGAGAATACCAGCAAAGCTGTCTGAATGATCTCGTTGATCCAGTGGTCTGCAGTGGTTGTTGATGACGTGTCTATTTGCTCTAGCTTCTTGCCATCGTACCCGTCTGGGAGAGTTGCGAGAAGACGCTGTTGGATGAGATCCCTGTGGGCAGCTAGAAGAGAAAGATCAGGGTTTGTTAAGGTGTTGTGATGATATGCCTCAATAACCTTGACCCATATCCTCATGTCGTAGATAACTTCTCTGATATCAACTGATAGTCCAAGCACATCCAGCCTGTCAATGATATGCGATCCTTCGTCGATTGGAGAATGATTGGAGAAGTCAGAAGCATAACCGAAGAACTTGGCCCTCTCATGGGTCTCCTTGACACGGCCGTAAAGCTGAGACACTGGAAGGTGAGGTTTGACAAGCATTTGCGTGGCGCGTACAAGATCCATGTAGTTGAAGGAAGCTTGGAAGCCCGCATACTTGACATTGTGAATACCGCCTTTCAAGTCTACCAGATTCATCAAAGCCCTTGCATGCGAATCGATGAGAAGTCTGCTTCCAAAGACGTGGATCCAAGAGAGCTCCGCTAGTGGCGGATTGAACGCCTTTTTCGTGATGCCGTTTCCATCGTCTGGTGACATCTCAGGACCACACAGACTGAGGATAGCATAAAGAGTCTGCTCAGGTATCTGTGCAACGGGTTTCGTGATGTCTTTGGAGATATGCGCAATGGCTTGGTTGTAGTGTAGTAAGCTTTGCTTATCCGTAACCCGCGAATTTCTCTTGAACGCAAGGTTCACAGCAGCTTGCCACAGACAAGCATGCACCAATGCTGGACCTTGAGCAACAAGGGTGTTGTAATCAAGTGCAAATGGTGGGATATGAAACGCGGCTGACCCGATCTCGAAGCCTGGCCAGAAAGATTGTGTGCAATAGTGAAGCAGCATTTTGGTGTGCGGATCCACTATCCTGTCGGGGATAATGCACATGCTGAGCTGACCAGAGGTAAGCAGAAGCTGTCTGTCATTTCTCTTGGTTCTCCTCTCCACCATCGTCATACCCTCACTGACCCTGTGTAGTTCGAGGTCTTCTTGGTCTGATGACAGTTTGTTGCTGGCTCTTTTACTTCGATGCATGGATTTGGCGAGATGTGACCTGGCACTCGATTGTCGGAGCTCAACCTCGCGGCGGCTGTTGGGTTCTGGTGTTATCGCAGGTAGGAAATGGAAGGAAATTTGTTTCCTCACGCTCGAGTCAGATTTCGCATTCATGTTGTTCCATCTGAATCACAAAACTGACCTAGTTTCATGGGTGCTTCTTGGTTTATCTGCACTGCTTACATCAAGGCGGGATTGGGATGAGGGGATCGTCATCGATGGAACCTAAGATGAGTTTGGCTGACTAAGACGGTAAGTACCGGATACAATCCCTGCCAACCATCTGACACTGGCTTAGAAGTACACTCTACTTGCTATCTGAGCGGATTTGACAAGCCGGATTCACTATAAGTCAATAGATCTTCTTTCAGCAATGCGTAATACTTGTAGTACTTTTGATCGCCTGGCTCGTGATGCTTGCGTCTATAGTCTATGCTGTATTTGCACTCGTCAAAGAGAGAACATCCCGTTTAGGAAGCGGTATTTGGGACTATGTGAGTTGAAGGTTGAGATTGGGTGGTTAAACCTACGACAATACAACACAAAACGCCATCAGTTCGCTATCCGACACCGTTTCCTAGGTGAGTCATCCACAGGCTTTGTTTGTGACTAAGTTTGAGCTTGTGACGCGTTCAGGGGAAGTCCAGAAATATCACAAAGAAGGTCAAAGGTAATATTCGTAGAGCTACTATACTACTTGTTTCATCCGGTAAATCGTACCAAACATTCATCCCATGTTCATATCTTTATATCAGGGGTGTGCACTCGCTGTTCGGCGTCCAACTTGAGTTCTGGCAGTGTTCGCGGTCAGTTGCCTCTCACAATACGTATTGCCCTGTGATTCATGCTCCAGTAGTCCCAGTTCTACGTGAACAAAGGCTAAGCAATAGGTTTTGGTTCCCACTGTCAGTTGCAGGCAAACGGCTTCTGCCATTCACCTGTGGTCCCGCTTTTCGTGATGCCGTGCAGAGTTGCGCTAACACTAGAACTCGCAGTAGAAGAGTGAAGTCCTGACGCTCCAGACTCTTCTGCTCACACTAGCCTCCTGAGAATCTGCCAGTGCCAAATCATCACGCGCGAGTGCCTGGTGTATCCTGTTTGTATCCTTTGCTGTTACTCCTCTTCATTCTTTACCATCTTTCCTCTCTTCAAACTTCCCTTTCTACATCAAACCTTCATCTAACCTCTCCTAAACCTTCACATAACCTTACCTAAACCTTCAACTATCCCGAGACCAGCACATCATCACTGCGTGAGGCCCCGCATTCAACACAGAACCTCTAGCCTTCAAACTTTGCGCAAAAGTCTTGCTTCCCGAGCACCAGGATCGGGTCCGGACAACATGACTTTGGTGCCCTATAGCAAGCAGCAGTTAGATGACTGCATCCTCATGCCTCTTGATAAGCCAACTGACACGTTCCATCCATTCAAAAATCTCCCTCTTGAAATGCGCCTTGATATCTGGGAGTCCGCACTGTCGAACTATCGACACATCAAGGTCCTTGTTGCTGATAGGGGCCTTTGGGAGTTCTCAGCCTGGAACTGTCATCACAAAGAAACCTCATTTGTCGACCATAGCGACGAAAAGCCATACGAAATCTTCGTCAAGAAGGGTTCGACGTACCACCCGCTTCTACACACAACATCGGAGTCGCGCCGTGCCGCCAGAAACTTCTACCGTGTGCAGCTCCCGTGTCGAAGACTCGGTCCTGACGGAAGCAGCGAGGGCACCCTATTCCTCTGCCCTGAATTGGATACGATCCACATCGAAACGAACTACTTGTCACTTATGCATTTCGAGAAGTTTGCTGATGCTGTTTTCGCCGCAGACAAGCAAAATGTTGGCCTCGTCAACTTGGCCCTCGACTGTGAACTCCGCCACGACGAGGACGAGTTTCGCATCTCTGACAGCGAGCGTCTTCTTTTCATCGAGGCAATTCGTCGACTCGAGGTCCTCACCTTTGTTGGGCTCGTACCCAACAAATGTACCCAGCTTTTGACGTACGGAAGTGACCTGCGGGTCATTAACGAATCGCCTCGCCTCCTCGCCAAACGTGTACAAACCGATGAATACGACAAAGGCTCCTTCAACTATAAATCGGGATTGTATGAAAACGAACTCACAGCCGTCCACATCGGCAACAAGGACCCTCGTCGTGGGTATTATTCCTTCTGCAATCTGATGCAGATACTCGACATCCCTGAAGGTGTCTACAAGGCCAAAGAGCAATTCATGCTCACCTACAACTGTGAGCCGCATTGCGTTTGCATCAACGGCGATCTGGATGAGCAGAGAGGCGTCTACAACAATACACAGCGGGAGTACCAAGAGTACAACCAGGAGCCTCCCGCCATTGGATTTTGGCTTTTCCCTCTCAGCGCCATCGGACCGTTCTACCTCGACGACCTCCGCCCCCGGAATGGGCTTCCATTGGACCCCGAAGCGGACATTGAGGTGAAAGACCGAGTCATCGACCTCAGTGACTGTTTTTCTAGCTTTTGCTTTTTTCATCCGGCCTACTAGGGCCGCTGGGGTGTTAAAATAAATTCAGCAAAAGGTATCCTAAGCTTATCCTAAACTTATGGTCAGCTTATGCTGACTTACCTAAGTCTTTTTGCAATTTGAGATCGAGGTGTCGGACTTTCTTTCCTCTCTGAGGGATTCACTGGATTTAAAATCGTCTGACCCCTGGATTGAGCACAAATGGATATGGAATGCAAGGGCGGAGTTTTGATCGTCATAAAGACGTTTCGTATTGTATTGTAGTGTAGCAGGCTTGACTGCCCAATCCCAACTCTCAACTCACATAGTGTCCCCCAAATACATGCATCTCCTTATCCCATTCAGACCAAATTTAACTGCCATGCGGATCCCTCAACACCCAGACCATACAACGAGACCGTTGCTGAAATCTGTTGATCCCTCCGCAGCAAGTAGGCGGCTCTACAGAGAGTAAGCGGAGGTGGCTTCTCGGATGGTCAAACAATCATGCAGCGATTTCGACTTACAACAAATAAACAAGAAGCTACAGAATCCACCAAGCATATCAGACAGCTGGTTAACTCCATCCCCGTTCTTTTGAGTCACCTCAAATTGATTTTCACAGCTGAGGAAGGGAATACTGACCATGGGATGTATGATTGAACAGGTATTGCGACATGAGATCCCAACTCGTGTAAAGCCCGAAGGGACTAGTCCCTGAAATTTGTTAAGGAAAACACGAGTCCAAAGCGCCACTATCTCCCAACAGATTTTGAAGCTCCCTTCTCGACCCCGAGCGCCCTCACATCCCCATCTGATCGAGGCGTCGAGTTCTCAGCAATTGGAGCAGTTCTTCCAACAACCTCTCTCTCTGACTGTACAAAGAGGGCTACAAGCCGATACTGGAGATTCCGAACGACATCCAGAACTGTTTTCTTTGCTGCATTCTGAAACCGCGACTGCAAAAGAACTTAAAACTCCCGAACGAATCGAGGGAACTCTCGGCTAGACACCTTAGCGAAGGCGGCAGGCGTGTTGAACCCAGATGGGCCTGTGGTCACTATGTTGGCCAGCTCTTCATACTGCTAGGATCTCTCTCGAGATGCAGACACTCAAATCTCCGCGGTTCATCAGTATGTGGTCTTTGTCCAAGCTTCGATTTCAGATCTTTGTCTTCAACAGGACCATCTCCGTTGTCATTTAGGTCTGTTCGTAATATCCTCTAAGAATGCTGATAACCCTCTTTTGTCCACGACCTGGTTTAGTAGAGTCATCCGAGTCCGCCCTTGTTTGTAAGATCAAGCTTTACGCTGCGGACACTGGAGAAGGATGAGGACACTACATATTTCATCCATTTAACCTCCAAATGGCTTGAGATAAATCGAGAAGCAGATCGAAATAGTATAGACATTAAGACGAGATTTGTTCAGAAACTAATAATTGAATCTTTCCCCCTTGGACGGGTTTCTCACCAAGCCAGCTCCCGCAAACCCGAGTCTGACAACACCATCGCTCATCTCCCAAGCACCATATCTCACAGGGCCGATATCATTAACCGCGTTCACAATTCCTCCGACGTTCTGATTCGGATCAACGTTTCTCATAATGTGCGATTCCTGTCCAACTGTTCCAAACGCATTCGCAATCTCGAGTGGGTTCAGACTGACATCCCGGCCGAGCTCCCACCAGCCCCAGAAAGTAGGCAGGACAGCGAAAATGCCAACCAGCGAGACTGCAATCGCTATCCACATCTTGTCGTAATTCGTAACGTATACTAGCGTCGTGGTGCCGCTGTCGTACTCGACTTTTTGCTTGTCTGTCGTGTTATACTTGGCGTATTGGAGACTTGCTCGAAAACCAATGTCGCGGGTGAGTTCAATAACATCTTCCATCGGGTTTTCCCACCGATCTCCGCAGCCTGGGGTTGTGCCGTTCATGGTGAGATATTGGGTCGCTGGTAAACCTGTCGAACTGACGTCATAGCCAGTGGCACCGGTAAAGCGCATGAAAGCTTGAGACTCATAGAGGGATTTTGCAATCATGCTGAAGCCTCCTAGGATATTTCCTGACCCGGGCATGACCAAATCAGCGGGCAACATGTATCTTCGATCTAGTCAGTAAACAGCTAGGTGGCATGGAGGGATTATCACATACTTCCTTTCGATGAACTTATCGTCCTTCCGCGTTCCCAGCAGCTCGACTGTCGTCCCATCCATTCGTACTGGGAACTTGGCAATTCCACCGTGAAGGTCGCAAGTCTGGACTTTGATCTTCCCATTGCATTTGTCCGTGTCCTTATAGAGCGTCGTGTATCGTAGGAATGAACCATTGGCCAGGTCGTTGACGCCCCAGTCACTATACTCGGTAACATTGACCTGGAAGAAATATGCTCCGTCCATGGCTCTCAGCATGCTTGCCCTATCCGTGCCGATGGTGAGATTGAAGTCCCTTGTCGTTTCGGTGCAATTGACGTCGAAACCAAAACCTTGTACTGCAGTTGTACAGTTGGTGCAGGAAGTATCGAAAACAGCCATGTCAGAGCGGCGACTGTAGTTTTGGGCGACGTCGCTGAAGTTCTTGGTGAGCAGTGAAGTTGAATGGCTTCGGCCAGTCATTATGCATGCGTAGTTCT